AGCTATCATCTGCTGACGGAAAACGTTCGGGTTCAAGCCCTCCTCGGCAGCAGCGATAGCGGTAGGTTTGTCTTCCATCCGGCATTCGGTGAACAACTATCGTGGGGATCTCCTTCTTGTCTCTACCGCGGCAAGGCAATCACACGTGGATGAACCAGTATCTGTTGACAGCGCCATGGCTCCAGAGGTGAAATACTTCACTGACTGATCAACACCGGAGACCTGTAGGAGAGATCATCAGGAGGGCTGTCTCTGGTAGCATCCCAGTAACCAAAAAGGTGTCGAAAAAGCGAATCCTATGTCTTAAACGAGACAATGAGCGCCTTCTGAAGTGAAAGAAGAAAGCTTGGCACAACCGCGGGACCTCCAGAAGAGTCAGATCTTATCACGAAAACGGCTCAAAAGAGACGGTGAAACACCAAAGCGAAGGGCCAGGAAGTCATCCCAGACGAACTTCGCCCGGGAGCTCGAGGCTAACCTCGAAATCTCCCGTCGATTCATCGAAGAGAGAGAATCCACCAGACAAACCGTTTACGTCATGGAAGGCCCAAACGAAGAGAACCTCAATGAGCTGGAAATTGCCAAAACCTTCGGCGCTGTTTCGATACACAAATAAACAAGCCACTACCCAACCAAAACTGCCAAACGCCTGAGCAACCTTCAATGCCTCTTGATGCGGTAGAGTTGCACGAAATAAAGATAACCTCTACCACGGCCCTCAAAAAGCTGTCACAGCTCTGCGTAGGGAAATCACTTCGATGCGATGGCATCCAGCTGTGTTGAAACAGCATTGCGATGCCTTACGCGGTTCACCCTGTGATATGGCTTACTAAACCCCAGACAAACTCATGCCTGCATGGCAGAGGAAACGTGCTGTTCCGTCTTCTGTCTTCAAGGGAGCAGACAGATATAACCCTAAATACTACGTACTCATGGCGCCTCTATCAGCACTGTCAGAATTACTGGATGGTCCGGTAGACGATGTCGTCCGAGAGTACTTGTACAGGAAAGCAGCACCGGCTGATGCTCAACACGGTTTCTGAAAGGGTGGGTCCTGTACCCCAAACATTCTGTCAGCCGCCAATAACTGGTAACCCTTACTTGTACCCCCAGGTTCCTGTTCATGTGATTTTCTTGGATTTTGCCATGGCACCTGACGCGGTCCCACACGCCATTCTCATTCGCGAAATGTCAAGGGTGAGCGTCAACAGTCAAGTGTTCTCGTAGCTGTAAGGCCAATTAGGCCACAAAGAATTCAGCCCATTGGAACAGGGTTCGTTTGGCTTGGGGGACATCATCCTCTAGTGCATCGCAAGGAGCGATTCTAGGTCTGCTGTTATTCCTTCTCTTTGTAAATGACTTCTCCTTGAGTCTCAGCCACCTTAAAAACTATCTTGTGGCGGCTATGTTAAGTCACGGACAGCTGTGAGATCCGAAGCGAAATTAAATACACTGAAAAGTGACCTCATATCACTCACTGAGCGGGTTAATAACAGTGGACAAGCAGTCAACCTGGACAAATGCTGAGCGATACCTCCCCGCACCTTTTTGACTCGTAGAACGCATCCTACTCACCCTCCCTGTGATACGCAACTTTACCGCATGGCCACGGAGGAGCACATGGGACTGATAGCAAATGACAAGCCAGACACCGGCCACAATTATCCAGGGGACGATTCCAGAGCTCACGCAGTACTGGACTTTCATACGGAGAGAACTAGGTGTCCTCACTCCGGAACCCTTCCTGAAGCTGTACAAGACCTACACGTGACCTGACTAAGAGGCCTATAACATCAATCTATCGTCGTACCTGAAAAGGGATGTGAACCTCCTGGAGAAAAATTAGGTACGAGCAACGGAAGGTGTTAGTAGAATGCGGAAAAAATCCGAAGGAGACAGGCTGAAGGACCCAGGGCTCTACTCCCTTAGCTGCCGTAGGTTACGTGAGGACTTAATAGCGGATCACAAAATACTGAGTAACCCAAGCCATCAGAACGATTGAATCCTACTGAACGGCCACTGTGGCAGTCTTCATGGTAACCCAGGGAGAATCGTCCGCCGAGGTGCAAAAACCTGTGTCCATTCACACTTCTCTCTGCGAATTCGCAACCACTAGAACGCAGTGCCCACGGAGATCGCTGCTGCGTCATCTGTTGAAAGCTTCAAGAAGGGTATGGACAGCTATGCAGCGATGCATGGTTTGCTCTCATCCACCAGGGATGCGGATTAGGTTAGTATAATCTACTAACTCTGCATAACGGACCGCAGTCAACCGTTTACAGAAACTGTTGTACCGCCACTATGACCACGAACTCCAGTCAATCTTGTATTTCAGTGTAGACGTCTCGTTCAGTTACCATCCCTCACTATTAGTGTTACTATCTCTGTTCTTACAGCCCTTCCTTTGATCTTACTTCCTCCTCCTCTTTCCTTTGACTCTTTGATCTCACAGTGTTTACTGAGGTCCTCCCCACTAATTATCTCCCATGAATCTACTCAGGTTTCTCCCCCGTTTCTCCTCCTTCTTCTCACTTATCTCCGTTGATTTCCCTGGGTATCTTTTCTATCTTCTTCTTACAACCAGCCCAACCATCTGGTGGTACGGTACTTGAGGAACCCACATGTACCACTGTCCCTGAAAAAATCACACAACCTCTGCAAATCCAATCAATGTACAACTGCCCATTGACATAACCGGAGCTGCAACAGGCAAGTGGGTAGACCTACTGTATCGGAACCGTTCTGTAGGAACTATAGGCGAGTGCGAATAAATCGGCTAGTTCGCACCATCTGGTAAAAATATATTGGATATTAGACTTAAACCCGAGAGAAGTTCAGAACGTTTGGGCAAGTAGCCGAAGTGGGTGATGTTTAAAGAGATTACAGTCTTCAGGAAGTTCATAAACGGTTACAGACTCGTTTTTAAAACTTTGGATGCCCTACAGACAATTTGACGGGTTTGGGTGGATCGCGGACGCTTTGACCGATGTAGGTGGACTTGCAGAAATTCCAGAAAACTGGATTAACTGCCGAACTTTCAGGCAAAACTTGAAGCTGCTAAATAACCTTGAAGTTATGACGCTGTCTCAGATGACATACTTCTACTTCATTTGCAGTACTGTTACCATATTGAAAGACAAAATAATGATGCTTCATTTAAAATTCACAATTGTTTGAAACTTCTTATATGTAGGAAGGCCTTCAACCACTGAAATACTTTTAATACACCGGTTCTGTGAAATATATCGTCAGCGCATTCCTTTCATAATTTCGTTAGACGTTGAAAGCTAGTGGGTTTGACTCTCCTGTTGTCTGGATTCCATTTTGTGGGCTTTCTTCATTTTATAAACCTGTATTAATTTAGGGGTATTTTAATAGCCCATTTTAAACACATACGTAATAGAAGAACCTCCTAATTGGGACACTATCGTCCTAAACTTGTTTCAGCAAATCATCTCGAGGCTGTCTAGAACTGTCTTCCTTACGCATTGCTCAGCAGATATTTTGATATCATAGGGTTCCCTAAGGGAATCCTTATAGCAATCATTTATGAATAGCACCCATTAAAGTGGTCCAAGGATTCTAGTCTGAAATATTCCGCTCAGCAATCATCCACAGGCAACTTAGTGAGTCAGTCATTCTGGCGATGAACACATTGGGCGTACCGATGGTTTTAGGGCACTTGACGCAAGGTTACCTTAACCACAGCCCAGAGTGCATGCGACACCCGTCCTATGTTACCTCACTTTTGTGCCACTTTGTACATTGGTCTGTCTGTCTTTGTTGACCCGAAGTTAACGAATGTTTACACAAATTTTCGGATTATGCAGTTAATTTTTCCAGCGCAGTAGTCTTGTATTATATAAGCTACACTATTTAATGAAGCCAAGAAAAGGCTAACATTAAAAATAAGTTTAGACTAACAAGTATTGGGTTTTGTTAGTTGTTTTTCCCTGCTAATTAGGTGTTGATATTAGTATATGTGTAAACCCGGACACTTTTTTAATCGTATCCTCCAACCCGCTATTGCTGTACGCATGTTAGGGTACATTTGCTACACTGGATGTGAATTGTAAACTGGAGATGTTTAGATCACAGTAATTCGAGTCAATATCAACCATTGCAGGACAGTCTAGTTTGCTACACGTTGCATCATATGACGTTTATAATTAAGGTAATATGTGGATACATCTGTGACATTGACATCGATCCCTAGTTATGTCACCTCTAGTCTTCGTCGACCTATTCCGTACGTGTACATACAAAACGTTGAACTTCGCATAGAATCGCATCGGTTCAAGTTGCCACACTTTACAGTAGTCTACAGAAGACAGACGGATAGAAAGTGGACAAAATTGTGTGAGAAAATAAACAACTTAAAGCTGAAGGTTAGTGCGAATATTCAATCTTAAAAAGCTGTCGAAGAGTGAATACACATGCGCCACTACGACCAATTTATGCTCGTCCCCTGATGAGTAGCTGGAAATCTCGCCAATTAGCGCCAGAAATGACGCGAGTTGGCAAATCCCAAACGGGCCTTAGTATCTCAGGGGAGGCTTTGTCAGCAACCACCCCGTTTAGGCCGATGCAATTCCTCAGGTAAATGAAGTGGTCAGTGCATTCCGCCACTTCATTCCCTATCCTTAGTGGTGGAGTAGCTAGATGTATTTCGTTTGTGACATGGACATCAACTGGGATGTCTGCTTTCCTTTGCGCTACTTCGACTATCAGAGACTTCACCGACCGATGGATGCCATATTTTTAGCTTGGTAGCCTTTAAAAATTTTCCAGCCTAAGCCTACTCTGGCTAATATTGTACGACGAGGTAGGAAACTATCGTGTCCTAAAAGACATCGATGCAATTGTAATAGTCATTTTAATCATACTGTATTGGAATTACAGTTTGGTTTTTTCTCGATGTTTCTAGCCTATTTCAATATTAGTACTTAACAATACGAAAAAACCTACCGGCTGACATTTTCGTTGTGTTCAGTTAGACAATGGAGTTTGATTCTAATCATGAGGTATGTTTTAATAGTTTTAAAAAAACCTGGTAGGACTTGACTTGCCATCCTGAAGACATTTTGAACAAATTCAAAATATTGGATTTAACAGATGAAGACGAAGAATTGTATAAGAATACCCATGAAGTTATTGATCTAATGAAGAAGAAGATTGAAGACGACTTCTCCACTGAAAGTTTGTTACTAGGAAGTATCAATATGAAGTATTCTAGAGACTCAAGTTTTAAAGATTTTGAATGCCTTTCATCATAAACTTGGCTCAAATCTCAATGAAGGCATCGGAATAAGATAAATCAATTAACGTCGCGACTTGAAATGATCAACTGTCCGAGTTGTTCTATCACTAGGTTTCTTTATTTTTCATTCTAAATTTATTATTATCCAGCATTCAAGGTCGTATTGCTGCACTCCAAGAGTCTGAGAATAACCTAAAGGCATCAGTTGCGAACAAGACGGAAGCGTGTAATTCATTACAGATACTTGTTGAAGAGGGTGGTAAGATGAAAAACGACTTGTTCAGGTAATCTATTTTGTCCGAAGTACAGCTTAGTAAACGTAATAATGTATGGTATTTAAAGTCCGAATGATTGTTTTTAGTGATAATTGTCATGTGTTTATTTTTCATAAATAATCTTACATGAATGCTTTCATGTATTAACTAGGGAAAATTAACGTAGGACTAACATCTGTATTTTCCAGTAAAGTGATGGACTTGAAGGATTTCTGGTTGTTGGTTATAAAAAATTAAGAATTATTCGTGGTACTGAAATCTTTGGGGTAGATGGTTTAGCGGTCAAGTTTTCATTTCCGTGATTTATTTAGTCAGAAATAGCGACAGACAAAACCTCGCACAGCGGTGTATCTTTCCCAGTTGTCGCGCTTCACAGTAACATGTAAAGAACAAGCGGGTGCAAACAAACTTGTCGGAGACGAACCTGTGCGGTCGGAAAATTTGGAAATCAAGGTTAGTGAGGACCTTCAAGCTTTAGATGTCAAGGAGTAAGCACATCTGCTCTACTGTGACCAGTTTTAGCTGTCACCAAGAGTCCTCAACCACCGGTTCATATCGTCTCTCAGACTCCAGCCAAGTAGCCTATATCTCTTCACATGGCTAAGACCAGAAGTCATGGACTTCATCTATTTGGTCTGGCCACCCTGAACCCTCCTCCAACTTGATCCAGCTTCTGGCATAATGCATCAAAGTCGGCGGTGACTCAACATGCGCCACTTGGGATGATGAGGGTTCAGAACTTCATCACTCAACGTGCTTGTCTTACCTAGTATCCTTTACCTGACCTGAACACTACTCACGGTGATTCCACTAAACGCTAGCAATGCTACGAAGATATCTGTGATACGAAAACCTGTAACTGCTTCATATCTTCTACTTTTGACGGCCATGTCTCAGACATATAACAGGATAGAATGGACTGCAACACAGTATACTTTGGGAATATCTCGCTAGTGGGCGCCGGAGATGACACAAGTTGGCAGACACCAAGCAGGTCTTCTCTATCCGAGCGGGAAGTGCATCAGCAACATGACTGTTCAAGTTGATGCAACTCCCCAAGTAAGTGGAGTAGTCGACGCTTTCGACCACTTCGTTCCCTATCCTTAAACTGTGAGTTGTTGACCCATCTTCAAACATTGTTGCATAGCCTATCTTGATAAAGTGGCGTCTAATTGTCAGTTCTTTTTTATTATTTTTCTGCTCAATTTCCTAACGTTTTTATTATTGAATTTGCAGTCACTGTTGTCCACATGCATTCACATTGGAGATAGGATGTTATGTCGTTTAGTTGCCAATCAATTTTCATTTAGATGAGGAGAACGACCACTTTGTAAAATGTAGTCTTTATAATAATCAATTCAGTTGATTTAGCAAGTTATCTTTGTTCTGTTCGCTTTTAATTTTTTGTCCATTGACCTATATAATAAAATATTGGGCAGAATTCGTTTGTTTATTGGCTAAACCGATTCCTAGTCGCTTAATTAGTCTTGTCATGATCTCTCACATAGTTTGTGTGCATAGTCGGAGAAACCATGTGTCAACTTCCGTAGAAGACATTGTGGCTCGTTTTAAAGTGAAAAAACGTCTTCTAAAGTCGCACATGCTTGGCCAATGATCACCTACTGCATTATTTGTTAAACTGACTAAAGTGTTAGCTGCCCTTTCGGAATCAGGGATGATCCCCTTTGACTGGCTTCAGTCTCTGGTTGTCTAACTCTTCAGAAAAGAAGGAAGACTGTTTTGTGATAACTACAGAGAATCAATTTGACTTACTTAGAATCTTACATTCTGGGTCCCTCAATAATTAGACAGTTAGTTGAAGCTCAGTAACGACAAACTCCAGAAAACTAACTGCACGTGTACTGTTGGACGGCCAGTTTTTATGTTACCACGGGTACAAAACAGCAAGTTGTTGCACATATATATTCAATTTGTAGATTTGTGGGGATTTATTTTATTGATTGCAGGTCGGTATTCATCCTAGACTGACATCAGTTGGTAGAGAACCATCGGGAACTTGGGAGCACTGGACAGCTCATTCGTAGTGACTTGCTTCGAGATGAGATTCCCGAAGTTCTAATGGAAAGTCGTGACAGGGGGGAGGTGAAAACTATAGCCGAGGTTAGGACAGTTGCTCAACGACAGCATCTGATGGAGGTCGCGCTATATCGTAAACTGACAGAAGTAGGAAACTGTGGACCACTGGACCCTGACACGGGTGGGTCAATGGTAACGTGGGACCTGAGGGTCCTTGGTGGGATCATCTGCATGTGCTCCTGAGAAGTCCGATACTTAAATGAAACAGTCGTCTGGTGTTCTGAAGTTTTCAGTGGTTCTTCAACTGATGTCAACCCAAGATGACTACCAACCTGAAATAACATTTTTATTTCTATTATTTCAGTGCACATCTTTTATTCACGTTGTAGGTTTTGTAATAGTCGGCATCTCTCTGAAGTGAGTATACTAAATGATATGCGTTCCATGGAGTTTATCAAACGGAGGTATGGCGATTTATCCAAGCTGAATTCCCAGTCGCTGGATGTAAGTAGTTGCCTTGTTAAAAATAACTACCAATTTCTTCTACTGATCGATAAATAGCATAAGTTTGGGCAATCTACTGGAGAAAACTTGCCTGATCAAAGACTTTTGATGACCTGGAAGAAAGTATGTTCTTACCCATCATTTAATCCACCTATAATTTAAACAAACTTGTTTTTAGGAGGTTGAAGAATTAAAAGAGAGAAAGGAAGTCTTATCTAACCATATAAACAGATATATGGGAATTTCGACTGTAGGCAAACTTTACATATTTTCTCTCATCGCATTCACTTATTACTTGTATTATACAGGACACTAAGTTAGCTAAAAGTCAGTTGGGAGGTGCACTTACTCGGATGGTATGTTTTGTTGTTGTTGAGAATATGATTTTGCTTATGATTTCTTCTCTTTTAGAGATCAATGGACTCGTATCTCGTCAGAACTTTAGGGGTCAATGCATGGAATAAAAGGTGAAGATATGCATGAACAGTTTATGCTAACCATGGCATTTTATGATTATGAGTACATATTTTCTCTCCAACTTGAAGACTTCTCTGATCCATGTTTCGTTTGTGACCGTGTGTCTACGCACACACCAGTTCCCTTATGAAAACAGAGCGAGGGAACGGCCACTTGTAACAGTGGAAAGCCACATATATAAGTTTGCTTTGGAACCGGACTAGTGTAATTCTGCTGTGACTTTTTGGACCAGTTGATTGTGTGCACACTGGAAATGCTTAAGTAGCCAACCGTTTGTTTGCCATTGGTCTGATTTTCAAATGGGCATCAAAGCCAGTGCTTAGCCGACGCGTGTCATGAATTGCTCTGATAGATTCAGAATATGATGATAAACGCCGGCTATTGAAGCGTGAATCTGTTCAACAGTTGTGTAGGAAGTGTAAGCAATCACGACTTGTCAAAAATATTAGTTAATCGCTTATATTTAAGGATGGGTTGATGTTCCATGTGATGGTTCAGTTGCAATAGTTTAGGGGGCCGTTGTTGTTCCCCACTCTATCTATAGTCCGAATGTGAAATAAGCGCCCCATCGACAACCTCTTGACTAAAGTATTGATACGGGGTATGGATTCATTCTTCATATGCATTATCGGACAGACAGACAAAATTAACGCAGAATCTCGCACACAAGTGCATCGCTTCAGGTTGCCACACTCCATAGTAGTATGCAAAGAACAAGTGTATCGAAGAAGAGTGATATCAAAAGGGACAAAGTAGTGTGAGAGAACGGACAAACTGGAGACAGAAGTTAGTGTGGATATTCAAGCCTTGGAAGACGCCAAGTAATGAATACCTCTGCTCCACTGCGACCAGTTTTAGTCTGTTACCAAGAATCCGCAACCACTTTTGCGTATTATCTCGGGACCACAGCCATATGAATTGTGATTAATCACTCCGGGTCACTGCCTAATACCCCTCTCTTAACTCTTGTTCCTTTGCTTTACGTTATATCTAAGACTTTCAAAATTGATCACAACACAGAAATACGTGTTCTGAGTAAATAAATAAGTTATTTTCAGAGTATTGGATTATTCGTTCAGTGACAACTTCAATGGTTAGTTTACCTTTAAGTCACTTTCGCTCTTCATCACGGTCAGAGCCTGCTCGGATCAGTCTGGTTGACTCAAGGAGGCTGATTCTAGCAGGCTCTGTTCGCGATGAAGAGGGAAAGGAACGTAGTAATATATAACAATGACTAATCCGATTAAAACCGCGAATTGTGAGGTGCCTGTGCGCTTATCGCTGTCAAAAGCACGTCATGAGTAGAAAAGCTTTCTCCTTAGCAAAATACGTCGGTAAACTATCGTGCATATGCGTTTACTGCCAGGCAAGTTAGTGAGTTGTTGGAATAAGCGCTTCTCAAATTGTGCACCTCTCTCAGTGATGGTGATTGAAGAGATACCAATGTTGGGTATCCAGTGGTTCATTAGCATCTTGGCAGCTGTTTCGGCTGAAATGTCTGGCAGTGGAACGGCGAGCAAATCCATACATGCGTGTTAGGACATGGTTGAAACAGTCAGAAGGTGGCAGTGGTTCAAAGGTACCTGCATAGGTGTGTTCAAATCTGGCTGCGGGAGAAAGAAACTGGCTTAGGGGAGCGTTGGTGTCACGATGAATTTCTGCTTATTGACAAGTTCGCATCCACTGTTTTTCGGCACGATTATTATTTGGCCACAGAAATCCCTCATCGGTCGGCTTGGTGGCGGTTTTGATCCCAGGGCGCGACAGGTTATGCAGTTTATTTAATACGAAGGGCCTCAATGCTTTAAGAACAAATGGATGAAGATTTCCAGTGGGCGTGTCGCATATAGTTCTGACAGTGTTAGACTGAACTTCGGAGGGGTCTAAGGAAGTAGTTCTTGAAAATACCAACTCTAAGTTCAAGTCACCCTTTTTAACTCGGATAATCAATGTCCCGATACAGTACGTTATTGAAATACATGTGTGACAATGCATCAGCAGCTTCGTTCCTGGTACCATTGACATACTGAATATAGGAAGCGAACTGTGATATGAACTCAAGGCGCCGAGGACAGACAATTTAAATTTCACTTGATCACTGTCCATACCTACGTATAGAGTATCTATGCTTTGCACTGAAAAAGGGCTTTCGCACAATATTTTCAAGTCTATGCTTGGACTAGTTTTTGGAGGTGACGTGTTTGTCCGATGTGCTGTGTAGACTGACTAGGTGAGATCCTGTTTTCCACGAGAATCAGATGTTCGTGAACGCAGCCGAAATAGGCTGAAATCAGTTTAACTGGAACGGGTATACTCACTTCCTGCCATCTTCGAAACTTCTCACCAGGCTTCTCCTTGATTCCCTTTTGCCGTACACCCTTATCTAGTTTAGCATGACTTTATTACCAAGTGCTCGTTCATCCCATGCTGCTACCTGAACCGAACAACCTACTTCGGAAGTCCAACGTTTATTTGTCTGCTTACCGTTGCCTTAAGCTCTGAGGGTGAGCCCCAGGTTGTTGAGAATTCAGTGGTCATAGAGTACTGATTCAGTATCCAGTATTGATAGTGCGAGCATAGAAAACTGATAGTTTTGATCTCTGGTGTCTAGTTCTTAGGGCTTGATTCGGGTTGTTCACTTCACTCCCACAGTGGACGAAAAAATCCCCTCTGCTTTCTTGTCTTTAGCTTTGAAGAGGTGGATCACTAGGTCATAATTCGTAGTGATTGGGGAGCTACGGGTTGCTGGGAAGGTTAGGGGACTGTTGTGACTCCTGTCTGTGCAGGTATTTGAAGAACTGTAAGGTAGTGGTAAAGAATGGAGAAAAAATAAAGGGAGAGGAAAAGAAGGGGAAGGAAAAAGTAGGGGTAAAGAAGAGAAACAAAAGCGAGAGAAAAGTGTGCGAGAATTGCCCGAATGGTAGAAATAGATTGTGTAGGTCTACTTCCTAGAGAATAATTTAGTGGGTAGTGTGGGTGTATTAAGGGGCGAGATGAGGAGTAGTAGGTAGGAGGGAGGTTGGGGTGGCAGGTGAGGTTGATGACTCCCTGAGTACGTCCGCGGTGGACCATGCCAGGTGATATAACTGTCTAACCATCTCTTGAATGAGTCGACTGAGGAGGCTACAACGATGTGTCGCGGTAAGGCATTCCATGAAGTGCATGCTCTCAGGGAGAAAATATTGCACCCGAGTATGGTATTGGCTTTCTGATGTGCTATCTTAATTGGGTCTCCTCGTGAAGACCACTGTGTTGCAGGCAAGGTTGATTTGTTCGCGTGGCCATAGTCTTCACTTTTCTGGCACGTGTTTGTTGTTATTGTGGCGTGAGCACCTTTAAGACATAGCACTGCAAAGGTGCGTGTGTAGTTTCTTCCTCTACGTTAATAACGAGAAGCAAATACAGCAAGCTAACGAAGCGGTTCTACAAACACTCGGAATTGTTGTGTAACTAAAGTTTAGCGTAGTCGAATACACTTTATCATTATTGATAGGTTTCTTTCTAGTTGGTAAAGAACTGAATGAAGGCAGTTTAGTGAATTGCCTTTCAAACTGAAGACACAACCAAGTTCTACCCTGATCTACTTAAAGACGGACAGTACAGAACTCGTCAGTGTACTAAGTCATCAGGAGTTCAGTAATTACATATGCCCAGCCTTATCTCCGAGTACTTTGGAATTTACGCTCGAAAAATGGTTAACGTAACGTTTTGCTTACTTTCATGCTTCCCTACTTCTGCACTTCTACCCGGAAGTTCGCAGATTACTTGTATTTGACGGTTTAAAAGTAAGGCTATGAGTGAATCTAGCATTCGCAAAACGTCTACTGTATCTTCTACGAAGAGTTCAGGTGCCCAGAGGATAACATAATATTGGAGACTTAAAACAAACTTCATTCAAATACTGAAAATTATTATTTTGTAGTTTATATTCATCTCAGATTTTGTATTTAGTGTTATTGAAATACAAATCTTGTCTTCATATCTGTAGAAAATATTCAAATGTACAACTTCGAATGTACGAATTAAGGGTGAAATGCTTATTTTACTGCCTCCGGAATAAACACAGCATTTGTTAAAGGTAAAGGCTTGGGGCGAAGATTATATCTCTTTTGATCAAGATACCAGCTGAAATTAACAAGAAAACAATCGTAAAACAAAAAATAAATTGTAACAAACGTTCTACAGGTAAACTTCGTTAACAGGCATTCTCGTTGAATATTTTGCTATTTTTTTTACATGAATTCAATACATCTATACCTTTGAAAACTCAACGTAATCGACAGCTAGAGCACGTTGTTCACACTGCTGTATGCAGGTTGAGTTCCTGAATCACCTAAACCTGGATGTAGTACTGTAAGAAACGGGGCAGAAAAATTATTTCACTTACGTGAAAAATCATGAAAGTGGTAGGTTAATTTGAATATCATGTGTATGCAGTAAAATCAAGTTGTCCGGATGAAAGAGAAGAATGGGTACCAAAAGGAAGTGGTGCGATCCACACATTGCTGAAAAACACATCAAATCTGTTGAATGTTACGTACCCCTCCAACTTTCGGGCTGGATTTACAAAGCAGAATGTTGGCCCACTCAGCGAAATCAATAAAAAGTTAATTTCTATCTACCGATACATACATAGTTAAAGCCGAAGGTTAAGAAAGGCCGAAGAAATAATAGGCAACTGAGCCCAAGAGTCAGATATGACAAGGAAGTGGAAAGACATCGACGACAAACACTAAAAGGGATTCTCAACTAAATGTCGGTGGATGCTTGTTTGTGTGAATCGATTGCATAGGTCTGGCGGAAATAAAGCGATCGTTACACATTGGTGCATTTCGTTTTGTAAGGTGATCAACAAAGCGAAGAGTCTCTGATAAATTTTCAAGGGAGGTAACAGGTTTATAGTTATGTGTCAGTTGCCCAACGTCCAATCATCGTTCAGCAGATGTTGAATAGGTTAAAAGAACTTGATACAAGGCAACAGGACCTAACAGTTTCGCACCAGAAAAGTACTAAGCATAGTAACTAAGATTCAAACTGGTTTCGTGATAACTGTATACATAACGGTGACTGAAACAAGACGCGTAACTCAGTCGACCAATAGATACTCATGGCACCATGGCTGACAGTAACCAAAAGCAATAACACGTTAATGAATGATTTTTATTCCAATTCTACTGTTGAGTGGAGGTCGAAAAGGAGTCACTGTTTTAAGTATTGACAATATTTGATACATGCGAAAGATGGTCACTATTACCAGTCGTCTTACTGAAATTTGTCATGAATGAGCTGATGCACACAAACCCAAGTACTGCAGACTTTTGGATGACTAACTCTCAATGCAACTCCTAGTGTACTTAGAGAATATAACACAATCCTGTTAGACGAACACGGTGACAAAATTCTGAGTTGTCTAAACACCACGAGAATAAATCGAAGGATGTTTAGCATGCGCTTCTCATCTATCAAACTTAACATCATGCTCCAGAACTGGTTTACAGCGATTCACAATTCAAATGCGCAGTAGTTCGCTCCGTCCTACTGTACAGGTGTGAGAAGTCTGACTTGAAATTGAGACATATGAAGAGGTTACGGGTTCTTCACTGCAGGTACCTTCGTAGTATTCCTCATTATGTGAGCAAAGCAGAGTTTACTAGGCGACAGAGGCAAGTCAGACGATGAAGCTGTAAATCTTCACCGACTGAGATAACTTGAACGCGTGCTGCGCATGCCGAGCTACCGCTTATCCCAATGTGCAATGTTACCAGAAGTAATGTTCACCTGGAAGAAGGCAAAGGATGGTCAGATATGACACTAGCCCATGAAGAATTTCACTGTTGGTTTGAGTCGAGTGTTTGACTGCGGTCTTCAACATGTCAGAAATCAATGGCTGGAGACTCGTGGTGATATGGCTGTAAATCAACACTATTATTTACGAAGTCTTGAATTCTTTCTCCTCTTACACCCTTTTAACTTACTACTAATATGTCATCCGTTTTCCTAACCATTTTCCACTGTTAGCTGATGCTAAGTGTTGCAATTGGGAGTGGTGCACTGTGCTAGGCTCTACGTTTATTTGACTGCCTGTAGTATCTGTCAAATGATGCAAAGGATAACTTTTACGAGAACCTGGAAGTGTTACTATAGGAAAAAACGTTCAGAAAGTCATAACAGCAGGCGACTGCGAACAAGTGCTGCTGATCGTTTTAGCCGTCGGTGGACATTTCATCGGTTAGGATTGCCACTTTTGAGGAGTGCCTATATATATATATATATATATATATATATATATATATATATATATATATATATATATATATATAATGACTTACCTTCCAAAAACTTGTTTTCCAATTCTGAGTTTCCCGCAACCTTCGCTGCATTATGCATTTGACGCAAAAGTTCTTCCAGTCTTCTAATGCATCTGATTATACTACCCTCAAATGCGCATGTTAATTCACAAAGACGAGAGAAACTGACACCTTCAGCCCAAGCACAAACGACATCCATTAAATCACCAACAAAATGACCAACGTAAGTTGATTCATCATCCAAAAGACTTGCACAAGCACCTGAGTTGACTTCCATACTCTTTTCAGCGTTCTTTTTTCTGTCATCATGGTCGCTTAGCTGTGGACAATACTCGCTAGAAAATTTACATTCAGCAGAAATTCTGGCGAGATATCTTGCCTTTTCCTTCAGGAAAAAACAAAAACACGAGTGAGGTGGATTTAATTCCTTGGGAAACGAACTGGCTACAATTTATACGAAGGGAAAAAAGTTTCAGTTTGAGAAATGACTTCAAATAGACAAATACATGTATGACAGGTATATTTCGAATTCGCGAATATCATTCATGAAAATTCTGAATCGCCATATCTTCTGATTTTGTGAAATTTACTTTTGAAATCTTATAAAGTGAGTTATGAAACAGATAATTTCGAAGTAGTATTCATCATGGACTGACATCAGTTGGGGAACCATTGAAAATCTGGGGGCACTGGATAGCTGTTTCGTCCTAGTATAGGACTCCTCAGCAGTACGCACCGGTGACCCAGCTAGGGATCGAAATCAGGACCTTCAGGTTTCACGGCGAACGCGTTAACCATTCAGACACTGGGTCGGATGCTAACTGAAGACCTTGGGTGACAGTCGCACTATGTTGTGAATTGACAGAAGTTGGAAAGTGTGAACCAGTGGAAACCGACCCAGTGGCTGAATGGTTAACGCGTTCGCCGTGAAACCTGAAGGTCCTGGGGTTCGATCCCTGGCCGGGTCGCCGGTGCGTACTGCTGAGGAGTCCTATACTAGGACGAAACAGTTATCCAGTGCTCCCAGATTCTCAATCGTTCCCCAACTGATGTCAGTCCATGATAAATACTGCTTCTAAATTAAAAATCCCCATTCATCTCAAAAATACCCACAGATAATTACTTGCATTTTTCACATAATTCAGACAGCAAAACCCACTGATATGGGAAAAAAACATTACTCAAAATCCAATGTTTAGATTTCTTTTCCGTAGATAAAGGTGAGAATTTAATATTAGCATCAACCGTTTTCGGTTTTTCGTTCATGTTCAATTTTAATACATGCAGTCTCACCTATATATTATGTTCAAAAAGCACTTTAACTCCAAGTTCGTTACTGTTTGCGGACTAAAAGAACTCACTGGGCATGCGATTCACTTGAATTTTTGTAGTAACAGCACTTAGGACCTTACAAGTCTGTAGCCAGTATATGGAAGTGGAAACGAATACCTTGTTAAATCTTCAGGGATAACAAGCATGCATAACCCAGCTCAAAATATTTTAATTATATAACCCATCGAACGTTACAGATCTTAAGAAGTTTCACAGCGATTCAAGAGTGTATTGACTCGATTATACTCTTCGTGGCCAAAAACAAGGTATTTAATCTCAATACAGAATTTAGTTGTAGCACCTATATCCACTGGTAATCAAGCGTACTCTCTCAGGAAAATGAAAGTATAACTATTTGTCTGTGTTGACACAATTTTAAAAAGCGTCTGTGCTCAGATTAAAATCGAAAACATTCAAGTAATCACTCCACATTAATAGATTTAAAGAGATTTTCATCCTGATGTAACCCAGCGACATTTTCAGCCTGCAAGAGAAATAATAGTTATAACAATTAGCAACATCCACGAAAGACCATTTCCAAATTCTACTGATATACTGATAAATGAAAAGACAGTTTAAATATCAAAAGACCAATAGTTTTTGATATCGCCAAAATTTTCCACTTTTAAAATACGAAAGAACTCTGCAATCCACGTGCAACATGCTATGAGCCACACTTTTTATGTTAGATATAGCTGGGGATACTATCTGAGTACACAAGCCCAGCTAGGTGAAGCAGGGTTCAGGTCTGTGATTGTGAAGTGTTGTCGCAGTGTCTGACTGTAAAGAGAGTACCAAAAAATTATGTAGTCCTTATCAAAGCTCTAAACTTGAACTCACGCTGCCGTGTAAGGGTTTACGGAGAGTTGACATGTGAATTGACAATAACTAGTGGCGTTCATCAGAAATATCCACGGTCACCGTTTCTATTCAACTTCATCACAAAAGTACTAACGGTCATAACCTTAGGCACGTCTGAATTCACAGGGATTGACATTCACCCTAGAGGTCATCCAGTTGACTTCGACTACGCAGACAATATTGTCCTGCAGGGTGAAGACGTAGACAAATTGCACGGTATTCTGGACACGTTGAGCAGAAATCTGAGTAAGCTCGGCATGCATCTCGCTGACGCCTGCCAAATGTAAGATAATGCTTCGGGACTGGTCTGCTGTCACCAGTCCCAGTTTTATGATGGAGAGCAAAGTGGTGGAATGTGTCGACCACTTCACTTCCATGGGGAGTTGCATCACCCTGAACGAGCTGGTTGCTGGCAAAATCTCAGCTCGGATACAGGAGGCATTTACAAACTTGCGTCATCCGTGGCCCCGGCTGGGCAGATATTCGACTATCTATCAAAAAAAATGAGTATAATGCTTCGCAGTGCGTTCCGCCCTGTTATACGGTTGTAAGAAATGGCCGTTAAAAAGTAGAAGACAAAAGTCACAGCTCCAGGACCTGAGCATATTTTATACTCCATAAGCTTTAGTGGAGAACCTAATTATTTGAAGGTGAAGAATCGGTTAAACGAATAGTCGATGTTTATTAATTTACACTGATACATTGGTGATATATATATATATATATATATATATATATTCCATTCAGGATGTTCGTATATTCACTTGTTTGTTCTTCAAATAATGGTGATGTACTCTAAATATAGTTTGGCTAAGAAACTTAAGGAATACCGATTGCTAATTAATTCTAGTCTCAAAGAAAACTGTCTTATCGACTTGTGCTTTCGATAAGCGCTTACTTCCAATGTTTTCAGAAGTTAGATGGCTCGTTTAAAACTATTATCATACACAAAAATTAGAAAAAAGTCTGAATTAGAATAATTCAAAAAAGACGTTGAAAAGGTAAGTTAACTCATCTTGTATCCATAAGCAGACAAGTACGATTATATCATGCTTTAAAGCACGTCTTGATACGAATGAGTCTAGCATTTAGTTATAGAAATATATGCATTGACCCAGGATTAATAACACAATGAGAGAAGAGATATCCAAATCCAGGATTTCACGGTTTGGAAAAATTTAGACGTTGGGTAAATGATATTCATTATTTTGGAATTTGTATTTCCCAAGGAATGTAAAATAAAATAAGTTCGTTTCAACTGACGTTTCGCTATTTAGTACCAATCGCTTTATCAAAGTTGTAGTAAACCAGAATTTATATACGATAACTTGATAAGTGTTCTTACCCATGAATGATTCTGCCTTGTCAGCATTGTTGAATACAGGATGATGATGGTCGAATTGTAGAATAAATACATAATATCCACGTGTAGTATGTGTGTGTGAAGAGTGTATGCATTACAGATTGAGATTTGTATGTACACATGTGTTGGTAGTTTTTATCGCATGTATGTTGGTTATGTCAGTATGTGGTGGTGGGTTGAGACCAGGTCAAACTACGTTTTACTCCCTCATGAGACTGGAATCTCATTTTTACTTAGAATCTTATCAGAAAGATTTCAATCTCAACATCAAGAGAAAGATATTATTGACTCATGAGACAGCATCAATTATCGAACATGCTTCAGAATCCCCTTACCTAACGATAAGGCGCAGATTGTACGTCATAAAATTTCACACACCCCGGCAACGCAAAGAAATACACTCAACATCACTGGACAAGAATTTCATGCCGTTAAAATTTGAGGAAAGACAAGAACATTGTAATAACAAAGGCTGATAAAGGAAATATAACATTCATTATGAAAAGAACAGATTATGAGAAGGCAAGTGAATACTTGTCCAAAGGATCATATGCTTTATTTGATAAGAAAAGATCCACTGGTCTGAACAACATGAAACTCAACACTAACAGATTACTTCAAGAACCAAAACCCAGAATCGTCAGCTCAATTTGGTCCAAGCTCGAACCCAAGTCATACGCACCTTCAAGATTCTAGTCTACACAAGACTCAAAGACCAATTGTGGACTTCACCGACACACCAACATGCCACCTCTCTAAATGTCTTAAACTCCTAGAAAATCACTCAAATTACACAATAAAAGACTCACTCGACTTTAAATCCAAAATTTCTTCACGTAAAATCGAGGGAGATGAAATTCTTTGTATACTAGTATTCCAACTTATGATAACCTACATAATTTATTAGACTTAGATACAACATCGACAACATACATCACTAAATACCAGTGACATCTTAAAGGCAGTAAAATTCTGCTTAGAGACTACTTACTTCACATATGAAGAAAAACTATGCATTCATCTGTTTCACCAATAATAGCCAGTGTTTCAGTAAATCCGAAGAAAGCTTCTTCATCCAATGACTAAAGGCAAAAATTTGGCTGCGGTATGTTGATGAGACATTCGTATATTTAAAAGGTGACTTATGCCACACATACTTAGTTTAGCTGAATGCTAGATCACCCAATTCAGCTCAGAAGAAGAAGCGGATAATGAGGAACTGTCTTTCTTTAGTTGTCTTGTTAAGCAGAGAGAAAATGAACATCTAGGTCTAACTATTTTCAGGAAAGCAACACATTCGAATAAATATTTAGATATCAACTCATCACATCCGATCAGTGTGAAAGTTTCTGTTGGCTTCAGTCTTTCAAAAAGAGCACATGTTCTTATAACAGATGAAAATGAAAGGAGTTACAGAATTAAAAGATGTGGACAGGATACTTAAAATAATTAATTATTCGTTGAAATAGAAAATGACATTAAATTTGATCGTAAAACTACTCCTAAATCATAGGCTTTAACAACAGTTATTCCCTAAAGATGAAATTAAGAAATTGATCAAAAAATGCAATGTCAAAGCGTTCTACAGAACATCAAATACATGCAGAGCACCGTAGTTCATTTGAAAAACGAGATCCCATTGGATTCACAATCTGATTGTGTTTATAAATATTAAAAAAAATAAGTCCCAGTATACAAAGGCAAACTTCCAGAGTGAGATCAAAATTAGGAAAACATGAACACTGAAGAGCTTCCATACGACCCTCTAAATATCGACAAGGAACTGGAAGGACTTGAAAACAATGATGCTTTAATTTTGGGTCACAAGGTTGATTTCGGCAATGTCGAAATTATTCAAAAGGCTTCAGAAATTACAAAGAACCTCTTATAGCGGCCCAGATTTTCATCTCACCTTCAATCATCACCCAGTACTCATCAAGTTATATAAATTCTGGTTTATTATAACTTCGATAAAACTATTGGTACTAAATAGCGAAACGTCAGTTGAAACAAACTTATCTTGTTTTACATTCCCTGGAAAATACAAATACCAAAATAATGAAAACACTGACAGAATTTTGTATGTCAAAAAGTGTATAAAGTTAGTGTTTCTTGGACAATGACACTATAACTGGAAAGATGTATGACTGAATGACATTGCTGTGGACCTACTTCGGTTGTGAAAACTACGGAAGATGAAACATAACTATAACTATTGTGCACTACTGAACGACGTCCGCAGAAATCAACTTGGAAGTATAATAACCTTTGAAAGGATTACATGGTAAAACTTTGTAAAGTAGATTGGATGAAAAGCCATCAAGAATACTACCATTTCTTAACAGGCAGAGCTAACAATGGCAAACCTACATGATAGTCTTCAAAGCTTTCTCCATAACAGAACTCAAATTCAACCGTCGTTGTTTCGATTGCTTTTCTGAAACAAAGCATGACATGGCACCTGCCAACTGAACTGGTGAGAAACTGTTAAAGAATCCATCCAATAACAATTCAGTCAATATGAGTTCATCACCACTCGAGATTTCACAAGCAATACGACCTTTCAAAGCGACTGTATCATCTTCCAAACAAAAACAAAGTCTCGTAGAAGTCTTTTCCTCGCACGTAATTCCTCGATTAATGAAATGGAATCTATCCTGTTTATACGTTCACGAATAGCTTCAATTTTCGCTAAATTCTACAAAAGAAAACAAAATTTGTTGAAGCGATTGACAACAGTATGAGTAATTAATTAAAAGTTTTGAACTAAACAGTAAAGTACTATTTGCTAAAAAAAAAACGAAAGCTGAGCTTTTTAATAAAGAATATAAGAAACGTATAAGATTATCATCAATTGCTGATACCTAAATTAAGAACTTTTCATGAAACTTTATATCATCACAGAAAACAAAATAGTTTTAAAATGCGAGGCTTTTGGCAAAACATGCGTGTAGGAAGCAGTAAAAATGTTTCGCCATGTCTGTATTTCGAAACTTTGAATGAAGTATAATGAACAAAGTCAATAAGTAAGGAGTTGATCGATGCTGCTCAAATTACAGATAAACTTTGTCTGGTTCCCACCCCACCTCTCTATTACAGGTTAGTCTAATTAAAACTAGCTTGAATATGAAAAAAATCCAATCTGCCCGACTATGATACATACAGTAATCTTATTAGGTGTTCTGTATAGGTGAATAAGAATACGAAAAATGATAATAATCTAACCTCTATTGATCATAGTGACTAACAGGGGAAACTTATCATTGTGTAAATGTTCATAACAAATATATTTATTCTAAAAAAGATAACGCACAATATAACTCATCAGATGTGTATATCTGAATACATGTTACATTGATAATAGGTAAGGGAACAAAAAAAACAAGATTTGAGGACTGAAGAAACTCCTTTTCTGAGAAAACTGGCTAGCGTTTATATACGGAAGTATTTAATATGTATTCTGTAAAAAAAAACGTTTTGACCAAAAACTGCTGTAACCATGATACGGTAAGTTAGGTTCTCTATCCATATGATCTAGTCAAGTTATGCCAGTAGAATTCACCATTCACTACAATCCTATCATGGTACAAAAGGTCATCTGTAAAGTGATGAAAGTTAAAGTAATAATTGTTGTTATAGCGTAAACAGTTCGCATTGTAATGGCAACAAGTTCGAAGTAAAACAGAAAGGTAAACTGTTAGGCTGGGCTTTTATTGGTAGGAGAGTCAGTTAGAAAAAAGTAGAATTCTAAATTGATCTGTGAGATTTCATCTCCAAAACTGTTTGTTAAACAAACAAAACACAACCAATGTGCGTTTTTGTCGGCTCCACGACAACAGCGTGAAGCTGATGCTATTTGATATCCGTGAAGGATAAAACTCAAGTATCTCAAGTTATAAAATTCCAAGGTAAATGTAATAGGAAGCATAAATCACTGACTAAAGGTCAGCTTCTTCAATAAGAGGATTTAAGTGCCTCAATGTGTTGAACACTTCACTGGAGAAGTCATATTAGCTCTGAGGAGTCTGTCACCGATGAAATCTCTGCAGGAATACAAAAAGCTCATTTAGTCATCATCATCAACACCAACATAGTACTGAGTAACGGTCCAAGTTAATACACCTCATGTGACAGCATCAAGTAACACAGTAATAAGATGTAAGGTGAAGAAAGAAAGAAAAATCGGTCAGGAGCACGAGGAAGTAGTAAAAGAGAAGAAGGAGGGATGAGAAAGTGCTGAACTCAATGTGGTGATTGAGAATAAGATGATGAGTAGATATATCTGTGCCACTGACACTGATTTTGAGCCTTATCACGCTTGCTTGGTCTCCACCAACTTACATCATTCACGTCACCATCGTGATATCCGACTGTTTACTGTTGGTCGAGTGTACTGAGTAGTAAATCGCTCTCTCCTACTTCACGACTATGAAGCATGGCCGATTAAATTGGAGACCATGAGAAGAATTGAGGTATTCGACTGCAGTTATCTTCCTAACGTGGAAATCAAATGTAGAGTTTTGAGCAGAAGTGGAAAGTCTTGATGGGCTACGAACCTTGATCAACTGAGGCGTCTGAAACATGTGTCACGCATGTCTAGTCAGTCGCTGTCCGCTCCGTCGCACTATTTTATCTGAATTAGTTTCTGGCTGGCTGAAAACGGGGTAAGAGGTTACCAGATTGAAGCGTAACATCAGTCCATAAAGTCTTTCAGTCTTGATCTGAGCCATGGAGGGAAATGTAGACTTCTCAGTTAGTGTCAAAGTGACAACTGAAATCAGTGGTTGGGGACAAACAGGCGACATGAAGTGGAATCGATGTCAGTGGCGCAGACGCCTCCAGGCATAGTCATTATCTTAACCGTCATGTCAATTATATTTATTGTTTCAATCCTGGTTTTCTTTTCAAAACTTTCTATTACTTTGATCAATTTCGTTCTTATTCCGCTATCATCCATCTTTGTATCTTCTACCTAGTACTGATACGAGATCTGGCGATTCAGAACAGTAAGGAGTAATGCCATCTCCGATGCTGATACGGACCAGTTGGATGACTACTCTTGTACATATAAATTGCAGGTCAAAATTTCGAAACTGTATTTCAGAGTTTTGAGGTGATTTGAGTTTCAATTAGCAGGCTATTTGGTTCAATTTCATTCGACTAGTCCTGAATGTAGACTGAATTCTATCAGTCATTTTGCAGATACGCCTTGCTGACCAGTTCCAGTTTCTATGGATTGTCTCCAACCGACTAACACATACATTATTTACATATTATGCACACGTTGCAAAATCAGCAGCACGACTGACAGACAGGTGCGCCTAATGCCGTTGTAACAGTCGTGGTAACAGTAATCGTTGTAGTCATAGTCGCACTAGTAGACCAAATCATACTACCGCTAACCTTAATTGCAGTCGTATTTCTTGTAGTAGTCACAGCATTTGTCGTGTTAGTAATAGCAATAACAATATTTACAATATGAGAATATAATAAAATAGAACATGAGGCTACGTAGTACTCACAGCTGTTTTCCAACTGAATCGATCAATAAGGCAGTTCAGGTCTGCTCGTTTCGAAATAGGATTCATGTCCATCCGAGCTTTTAATAAATTAATAACCTGTTATAAAAAGCGAACACAGAAAACGAATTTAGACAATGTAAGAAGTTAATGTAGCAGGTAGTTGTGTTTTTTCACAGTTGATGTAACGACCTTACATGGCAAAACTTCGCACCAAAAACTTTAGAATATGGTTACCACAATAATTCATTTAGAATAGTTCGAAACAATGTAAGGAGAAATCATCCGAATGATTTTTTCCACGGAAGTGAATATGAATGAAGATGATTGACTCATATTGTTAGGTTCACTTGCGAAAATGCATTTAGGAGCCACATGAAGTCAGAAGACTACCTTATTTTGTTTTCAAAATAATAGTTAGAATGCAATTTAGTGGCATGGGACGTCATCAGATATGCCTCAGAATCGAAACAAGTGGCGGTCATTCTGTAGCTTCCTTTTACTTTCTGTTGCTAAAAAACTAATGAATGTTTTCTATGGAACGTATCTTATTGGACTGCTCTTATAAGCATGTTATTCCAATTGCTTTTCTTCATTACTTATCCACCTCCTATCGTTTATGTCTTCAGAATTCTGTTTAATTATTTTGTGTGGCGCATTTCCTGGTGCCCTTGTTGTACTATGTTTGTGTTATGATGACGATAATAGATGATAATAATGATGGTCATAGTAGTAAATAATAATAACAATGATAGTGAATAGTAATAATGCCAGCAACGACAATAATAGTAGCAGAGATAGTGGCAATAACAGTAATAATAATATGATTGGTAATAATAATGATAGTAACAATAATGGTAGTGATAATAGTGGCAATAATAATTATTATTGTTATTGGTAGTATTATGATTATAAATGATAATGACAGTAATGAATAATGACAACAATAATAAGGACAATAATAGTGATAAAAACAGTAGTAATAGTAACAATAATGGTAATAATGAATGATAACAGCAATAATAATAATAATAATAATAATAATAATAATAATAATAATAATAATAATGGGAGTAGCAGTAATAGTAAAAGCGATAATAATAATAATAATAATAATAATAATAATAATAATAATAATAATCACAATAATAGTAACGAATATTAATAATATGATAGAACTGTTACATTTATTAATAATTAATGTATACTGCATAATCACACTCACAGATAGAAGAAAAGAGTAAGTTACAGTCAACGAAATGGCAGAGAGAAAATGCGATGAGATGAAACTAAATAACAGGAATATAAAAAAGGTATTCAGAGAAAACAAAGGCAATGGCTAAAAGAAACCGTTTGCCTTTGATTTTCAAAGTCAAATAACCATTATGCACCGGCAAATATATATCTCTCAGATATCGTACGTCACCGTATGTTCACGAATAGTGATGTACAAGGAGTTTAGGACTGTAAAAGTAGGTTTTGTATACTTTTAGACCACCAGTGCTACCAACAAAAATTTCGCTTATCTCAGTGAAAATCATGAAATAAATAGAGAAAATGATGTATACTGGAAAGATAATCAGCGATTAGAAAGAAAGTCAGCCCAGTATAGCTGGTAATTACGCGTACAACTAACAGGTCGACAGTGAGTATGGTGGACGGTACTTATCACAATGTGTATCAGTAGTATTACTCGCAACAGTGGGATCACAAGGAATGTTAACGACTAACTCATAAGGACTCAAAATGAAAGAAGGCAAAATTGAGTACAAATATAGAGGGCAAGAACATTGGACATCGGTATACAGAAAGTGAGAATGTTTGCTAGTGTGACTTTATTGTACGGTTCATTATTCTTATCATTACGGATTATATTTTTCTAATAAACAGTTTTTACTGCTGCATTGGACCTCTCTTCAATTGGGATCTCTAACCGAATGAAGTTACTGTGAGCCACAATTTACAGGCAGATGGACAAGAGGAGCATCCTGCGAAGCTTCGAAGTCATAGAAAAACGGGTGGATGCTGTGAATCTGAAAACGTAGACGGTGGTTCTGGAAACGGAGGGAGGGGTACTAAAAACACCTCACATAGACTCACTCAATATCGCGGAGTTAAGTACAAAATGCAAAAGTGACTGAGACCCCTATGACTACCGTGAACAGGTGTAGTGAAAATTCCCGATGGTCAGTCAGCAAAAGATGACCTTGTCAAAGCATCGAGTCCCTTGCCATTAAGAAGCCGAAATGGACAGTTTCAGATAATATCAGATAACAACACTGAAGAGACTGACAGCTTTCAGCTGATAGTTCACCAGTTCTCTTCGTGAAAAATCCTGGCGGAAGATACGGAACCCGTTTTGACTTTTCGGTTAAATAGTATAACTAAACCCAAACTCTGTGCAATGCCGACTACAGCAGAAACATGGTACTACGTGAAAAAAATTTTGAATTATTTTCAGTTTTCGACCTCCGATGGTGGTATTCGTAGAAACAGAGCCCCAGCTTTCAGAAGGCTAGACAATTTAAAGCAGAACTCACTTCATTTAAACTAATCAGCGCTTGCAAACAGGCAGTGTTCACTTTCATTACTTTTTTTAGTCAACTAGGATCTTGTCAAGCAAAGCCCTTTTTCTGTTAGGAATTAAGACTTTAACTACACCTGCATGACAGCAAAAACTAGCCTTCGAAACCTCAGTAACTCGAAGGATGAAATTCGCAGATTCACTGAATTAAGCAGGTTATAACGGATAACCGTAAATAGATTCTTTCTCACAAACACATGACACTTAAGCGACCCAAGTGTCAACAGTTTCGTCCAGTGAAGTCTGTCGCTTGGCTTATTGGAAGATGCGGACATTGAATGCTTAGATACGTAGAATGCAGAGCAGTTTCAAGGGGCCAGGGATGCTTCAGAGCAGAAAGTGAAGATGTAAGATTGTTAACATGGAAGTGAAGAAATATGATTCGAGGGCAAACATGTGGAAGATTGATAATGACCTGAAGGAACTTGAGTGCAGATAAATATTTAAGAATGGTCAACATTTTCTAGCTCAATGCTCCATAGAAGGCTGTCTCCGAATGACGTACCTGAAAAAAACATTATTAATAAGTGATGCATGACCGCAGAGCTTAAGGAACATTTACTCGAGGCCAGTCAGACACGTTTTTAGGAGTTTGAGATTGTGATGAATCCAGCCAAAAAACCCATACGGTCAGTAGCTGAAGACATCAGGGTGGAGAGAAGTGTCCTAGTTTTGGGGAAGAACTTCCTAACCAATCCGTTTTCCTTATAATGACGGCAGCAACAACATGAAATGGTCATTCACCAAAAGCACATTACTGCTGTTATACCTCTATTTAGATCCAGCACAAACAGGTGAATATCTCGATGAGTCCTCTCCATGCATGTGTTCACTAACCATTAACCAAAAACTTGGTGCGATGCGACGGATTCGCTAGTACAAAGCAAAACAATGATTCAAAAGCCCTTAGTTCTATTCAACCTAAGTGTTTGTATCTTCCCAAAGAGACACTGGAAAAACGAGTATATAGCTACAAAAAAATGCAACTTTTTTTCTAACTGTTTAAAAAATGATTCGAAAGAAAGACAACACTTACTTCGGACTTCTTTTTAACTCGATCATCACGGATATTCAAATCCTTGATGGGGTCAAGTGTAGGCAGTACCCCGTCCAGCTTTGCTTGAGAACGATAAACACCCTCCCAAATTCTCCGCTTAACATGTTCCGGTTGAAGAAACAGTTTGTCGCATAACAACTTCGAATTATTGGTTTTAAATTGAAATAAGGAAACAAGTTTGAGACATACGCTGGAGATAGCAGATAGACAGTCAAAGGGGACAGAAACCATACAAACAGGAGGAGGTTTTCCATTGGTAGATGTCTCGAATTCGTCATTCACAACGGGTTGCACAAGTGAAAGAGGAATTGGTTTCTTTATAAAATCCGAATTATTAAGAATCTGATCATCGGCCACTTGCATTAGACAAATAGCTGACATGCCATTGCATTTATGACGCCCTGACAGTGCCTTCGAAAAACCAGAACGATCCACATGTAAAACAACTGCCCAACCGAAATCCGAATCGTCTGAGCTCCTAATCTAGTGTACAGTGGAAGAATAAAGAGTATGAATAAACCAAAAGTTCGGAACATATTTACGAAACGTCTATACTGATGGAGTGTCATCAGAATAGAGGCAAGTTCTGAAAGTGAAAAAGATCTAAGTTATCGAAAAATCTTACATAAAATACAGTAAGTCGTAATGCCAAACCACTTGACTGGATGTCAAGCCCAGTAGTAAAGAATACTACCGCACAATGCCAAGTATTCGCATGTGTCTGAAGCAAGTTAGAAAAGATGAATTTTTCAATTACGACGTTAACATCACAAGCATTTTCAACATTCAGGATGAAGACACAGATAGGATGCAATGACAGAAAATAAGATGTAACATACATCCCCACAGCAGTGGTCTCCTTTATTTTCCTTTTCTGTTTCGGGAACCTATGTTACTCTTATCTACCTACTACAGGAAGAAAGTTATTTAAATTTTCTTACTGATTAATTCTCAATTTAAACTCGACCAGTCAGGATCCCAGAAACGACAGGTTACTACAAAATACACCTACAATTGGGGAATTACAGGGGATATATCAATTCGGTTATTCGAAGCAAACGAATCCTTAACTGTAGAGACTTTCGGATACCCTGGGCCATAACTGCTACTTTGATGTGCTGGTCGGACCTGCAATGACCCAACGAGCTAACACGGCTGAAACGCTTGTTCCCTCGAGATTCTACCAAATCCCTAACTTCTAGTCTTCCTCTTCGTTTCTTGGTCAATAATCCATCATCTTTAATGTCTCCCACTTCTTCATCTCTCGACAACGATCTGAGTTCAAGGAACAATATCCTTCCAAACTAAAGACTGAAGCTTTCAATATCAGCATCCTTCCATAAAGACAGCCAACAAGGTTCTCCAGACTTAAATATAACATCAGCCCGTAAAGTCTTTGACTGTTGATCTGAGTCATGTAGTGATATGCTGACTAGTCGGTGAGAGTCCATGTGACAACAGAAATAAGTGGTTGGATACTCTAAGCGATTTGCCTCAGAATCCAAGTCAGTGATGCAGATGCATCCACACATTATCTAAATCGTAATCACTACACTGAATTCAGCATTCTGTCATTCTTCTGTCCTCTCTTTTACTACTTTCTACTACTTTTGGTCGATCTTCTTTTCCTCCATCATCTCTCGTCTTATTGATTGTTATGTTACTAGTGATGGGCTCATTTGAGGTCTGGCAACTCGAACTGTTACGCAGTAATGCCTGGTTCTACTTTGATATTCATGACTATCGGATAAGGTTAGGGTAGTAGTCACTACAAGAATATAACAAGAGGCAACTTGGGTTATAAAAACCAGCATGATCCAATTAGATAGGGATAAAATACAACATATGATATTTATACAAAATATTTGGTGTCAACATACTCGAACCACTCTACCAGATTGAAGAAAAGGTATAATGCTCTTTCTCTGTGTAACCAATGACCACCGATCAGATTCGCACATAGAGACAGCATTTCGGAGTTTAATGTAAGCTTGGAGTTGCTCCAAATCTACATCGCTTGGGAAAAAAATATTCCCGACAAGATTTTCTAAATCCTTCAGGCCTGAATATAAGAAACAAAATAAAGGTGACAAAAAAACATGATGACCTTAAGATTTCATCGATAATTTAAATAAAATTTATGATGCATAACTATCTTTGGATACACTGTAACGGAGAGCAGAAAGCTGATTTTAAAAATGCAAGATGTACTAGGGCACTGTAATACATACCAAGGAAATCATGTATCTGTAACCTCAATATTTATGCGCCACGGAATGCAGAAATAACAATAAACCAAACACCGATAACTAAGCGGTTGCCCATGAACGCCTAACCCACGGCCAAGAGCTTCATTTGCAAGCACAACATACAATCCAACCATTCTTGTCACTCACGAACGTTTACGGTCATGGTATCAACCTTTTGTGGTAGGTGATGCTTAATCCTTCTGGTTACATTTTTAGATCTACTGGTTGCACTTAATTATTAGAGGTTAGGGTTCAAACAGTGTAAGAATATGTGTCACTATTGTTTGTTTGCAACAAACTGTGAGGAGCGAGAAAATCGCCATACGCTGACTGGACCGATGAAAAGACCCCAGAAGATTTGGATTTCACCAATGATCATTTATGTCTAATGCCACACAAACTCGAAGATCTACAGGCGCAAACTAACAAGTTCGCAGAAGAGGCAGCGAAGGAAAATGGGACTTCCTTCAGGTGAACGTAGAGAAGACAGAGGTGATAAAGATACCCAGACACCACCACCAACAACAACAACAAGCGCCAACAACCATCAACGGGAGAAATCTAAACGAAGTTGTCTCTCTCACCTACCTAGGCAGGATAGCATCGTTTCAACTACTACAGGCGGCACAGGCACAGATGACGACGTCAAAGTCAGCCAGGATCGGAAAGACACCAAGACAGGCCTTCATTAATCTGAAATCAGTGCTGAGATCTACTGCACTGCACTGCATTCAGCATAAAGCGTGAACAAGATCCAGATTTCTAACACTAAGTCAGTCAAGTCAGTGCTTCTATGTAATAGTTCAGAGACTTGGCGCGTTACGAAAAGCATTTCCAACAAATTACAGACACTCATCAACAGCTGCCGCCTACGCTCACTCGATACTGAAGATCTGATCAGATGGCCAGAAACAATAAGCAACAAGGAACTCTGGCTGGCTGGCTGGCTGGCAACGAACCAAGAACCTATCGCCTAACAAATATGCAGAAGAGAGTGGAGATGGATTGGATTGAACATACACTGAGAAGGCCGTTTGAGGACATCACGCGCCACATCCTCGAGTGGAACCCAAATAGGAAATGACGAGTTGGGCGACCAAGGCGAGAGTGACATGGAGGAGAGATCGAGTGAGGAAGAAATGAAAGCTTCTGGGTAGTCGTGGAGCCATGTTAAAAAGACTGCAGAGAAGAGAGTGAAATGGAGATGTGCTACTGAAGCACTATGTTCCACTAAGAACCCAAGGGCAAATAATAATAATAATTGTTTGTGCTGAGCAGTTACTTTCGTTTTTATCTACCTCATAAATCTTTGCTCGATACGAATTTTCGGTACACCATAGAAACCTATAAACTGGATATGAGTGAACATAAAGTTATTGGCTTTTACTAACCTTTCACAGACACGAATTTTGATTCTGTTTAAGTTAGTATGTGAATTACAGTTGGTAATCGAATAGCATTTATTGAAAAAAAGAGATTATATGGAATTACAATGCATGAGAGAATTATATTCCGCAGAAAAGTCAGTTAACGATCCTTTTTGTGGTGATACTGCATCTCACAAAAAATTCTTTAAAAATTCCAAGGCATCGAATTTAAAATAACTTGTGAAATGGAAATGCTGTGATTTGTACTGCATTCAAATGACAGCAATATCAACTGATGCCGTGAATGTACTATAATTCAATTAGTTCGATTAGTGACAGACAGACAATGAACGTAGAACCTCGTACACAAATACATCACTCCAAGTTGGCATACTTCACAGTAGTATTCGAACAGATAAATAGTAAAAGAGTGATATCAAAGCAGAAAACGTTATGTACGAGAGTAAATAATCGGAAGATAACGGTTAGTGAGGATTTCCAAGCTTTAGAAGACGTCAATGAGTAAAAACACCAGCCCCATTGTAAGCTATTTTCAGCTGTCACAGAGTCCTTAAAGATTGATTCCTATCATCTCAAGGACATCAGATAGGTGGTCTACATTTCCCCACACAGGTCAGGTCAGTAGTCAGGGGCTTCATCGACTGATTCCACGCCTTGGGCTGGCCGCCCTGAACCCTCTTCGAATGTAATCCAGCTTCCCCTAGCATGGCACATCGAGGTAGGCAGTGACTTGGCATGCGCGGTATATGCCAAAGCCATAGTTTAATTAGTAATTCTAAATCATGTTCAAGATAAGGTAAAACGAATTTGTGTTTGACCTCGTCCATTATTATGATCTAACCACTGCAACGATCATGAATCACCTTATGAGAAAAAATAAATATCAAATGCCTGAAACATAAACGCCAAAAACAATATCCGAATCGAAAAATGAAAGTTGGAACGTACGATTTTCTAGAGCAGGCAACCCAGATTTACACTGAAATTGATGAAAATTTTTCACTAACATCACTTCAGGATTCACATCTTCAACACGCAACAAATTCAGTATCATGTTATTAGTTAGGTAGAACGAAGAGTCTAGTCGGTCAGGTTCACCAAGTAGAAGTCTTCTAGCTTCCTCTGAATTTATACGGTCATCAAGCATCATTATAACAGTGCCACGTGTGTCTTTACCACGCCGACCTGCACGTCCAGACATTTGAATGTACTCGCCAGATGAAAGTAAACGAAAATCACTCCCATCAAACTTTCGAGTAGCTGTAAACAAGACAGTACGAGCTGGCATATTGAGACCCATGGCAAAAGTTTCAGTGGCGTATAACACCTATGTTAATTAACATAAGAATTACATCAAATTCACGAAGAGACTGAGCATAGTGGAGTAAAACGGTTGATTGTAAATAAATTTAGAATGGACGTGTTACATATAGTGGTCAGATTTTTAATTTCCGTAGTATTTTGAGCAGAAAGGTTACGATATGACCCCTTTTCAGAACCATTCCATAAAGGTTATGAAAATATCGATAAAAATTGGTAGAGAAAAACAGTATCCCTTTAACACAACCTACTTTAAATTATCCCAATCATATTCACATCTGATCCACTACACATACCGGAATCTGACCGAAGACAAGACAAAATCAACGTAGAACTTCGAACCTGGAGTGGATCAGTTCAAATTGACACACTTTACAGTAGTGTACAAAGAACAGATGGATAAAAAAGTGATTTCAAAGTAGAATGGGCAATTTGAATATGAAGGTTAGCACAAATGTTCAAGCTTTAGTAGACGTTAGAGTGAACACATGTAACCGAATAATACGTGTGAATGACATTTCAAAAAAAATAATACCTGCTTTTTCGAAAATTTAGTAACACTCATCCTAACAGTTTTTACTCTACCTTTCGCAAGAACCATAAAGAAGGTAGACTTCTGATGTTTCAGTATCTTTTGAAAGTTGCTTCTTCATGAAATAAAACCAGCACAACATATCAGGTGTTTTACCTGTTGTTATGGTTCGAAGCGCTAATGGTATATGTATATATTCCGAAACGAATATAATACGCGCGCTTAGCTGACAGCTAACTTGGTACGCAAAAGACACTGGCTGCAACCCCGGAATGAATAGACAGAAGACCGAAGCTGGCAGATGGGAGAGTGTATTACTCCGAGAATATATAATATAATGAATCAATCCAGAACACGTGAATAAGTATACACATGAAAAAAGACCTTGTCCGCAATTGGAGAATTCACATAGTAAGAGTAAAAGTTAACCAATCAGCAAATTACATTACAATGGGGGCAGAAATAGACTATTAGTCATACCGTAAAAATGTTCGGATCGATAACAATGTTTTGTACAAAACTGGGCATCACAACACCTGTAAATGTTTCGTTCGAACGAAACGCAGATATGCGAATTTAAAAGTTCATTAACTGTATTTTCAAGAAGCGTGACGTAGGAGATTTAATCAATGAGTCACAACGTCTCCTAAATGTGTACTACCGGCTGAAGCCTCAGAAGCCAAAAAGTAACAGATGCGGTACATAATCTAGTACATCAATCTGTAGATGTATCATACTCCTACATACTCATTGTCAAACACTGATGGGATTTTAATTTAAATAGATGATTTCATTATCAGTAACGAATCAACAGAATAATTTTCTGCAAAACCGACATTCTAAGTACTGCTATAAAGTGGTGTATTCTTTTTCTCTCCTCCGTCTTATCATCACTATTATTTTATTAACGTTTCATTACTATCTGCTTGGTAAAACAGAAAAGGTTTTACAAAACACTGATCAGTCTTTTAACGAGGCATAGCTTCATGTACTGAACATTCGAATCCTAACCACCGGAACCCAGGTTCTTGCCCACTCTACCTACGACGACCTGACTAACTTAGGAGTACATGCCAGTACTCAGATTTGAACAGTTGTATGTATGCTTCAGACCTTATTTGTTACTGAGCGCTGACCATGGTAGTCAACAAGTAAGCCTGCCTGAAAACGATACAGTGATAGGTAGAATAAGTGAAAATTTGCATTGACAGAAAGATGGCTATTTTCAATCAAGTAAGCACTCACCTTTATCAGACCCTCAGAGAACAACACTTCAACTATTTCTTTCAGTATGGGTAACAATCCTCCATGATGGATACCAATTCCACGACGCAGTACAGGTAATAAAATCTGAACCTGAGGAAGGTTTCTGTCTTCAACGGAAAGGTTCTCGATTGCATTATTGAATATAAGTTCAATGGCTGTCTTCTCGTAGTCTAAAAGATGTAAGGTAAAAATCTATTTGTAGCTAGATTATATCAGAGAAATGAGGTCTATGAACAACTCAGACATCCACCACGGTTTTCATGTACACGGTCAGGAGTCGAACATGTTGAATTGATAACCACAGTAACACTTGGTTACCTAGGCCACAGCAAGAGGAGTGAGGTTTAAGAGAGGGACTTTAAAGACCACCCCAACAACGACTGAAATAACCAATTAGGTTCCTCTATTTCTATTGAAAAGTAGTTTTTTAACATACAGAGATCTAATTGGTTACCTTAGTAGCTGTTTAGAATGGCCTCTAGAATCACGCGTTTAAACAATTGTCCCATTTTCAGTAAGTTTAGACAACGAGCCCCACCTTCTAAGTCACCATAAACTGTATTGAATATTTTATGCCTATCTATCCCCTTTGTTACTGGGTGATGGACTGAAGGTGAAATGAAAATTTGGGCCATGGTAGGATTTGAATCAACAACACCACCGGGTTTCCCACCTAGTGCTCTACCAACTGAGCTACCAATCTTCGCCCTTCCTCAAGTAAACTGTATTTGTAGTGGATCACACGATCCAATCCTGTTGGATTGACAATTTCTCTGTGTTTGTCATGAGCCTAACCCATTCATGCCTTCTTACCCCCTTTGGTACTTGTGGTCGTAATTTTGATCGGTTGTCTTTATCTCTGATTGATTTCGTGTATGGACTACATCCGGTCAATTTGACCAGTTTGCTTGCTTGTAGAAATTGCTAAACTGGTTGTTTTTGTTGACGCTGACATTTCTTTATGATCGATTCGGCGATTTTTCCTAGTAGAAGCATGACAGTTGATGCATCGCCCAGACAAAAAAAAACCTCAATATCTTTATTTTGAACTATTAGGGTTTCGCACAACAGTTTGGCTGGGATCCAGCTATCGCCATTTTTAGATTTAACAAACGGTCTTCGTATTTGGATACTGATTCGTAGAAATCATAAAAAAAACCGCCCAGCAAAAACAGAAAACAGTAAAATCGCGGGCAATTCAGCATGGGCACATCATTCGTCAACCGAAGCGAAATTTTAAAAAATATTTCAAAGGTAAAAAAGAATCAAGTCTATTCCTGATCATTAATAAGGTGAACAGATTAGTTAAATTGCGTATTTGTATGTTCATCAGCCTAGTGGCTTTGATGATATCACCATGCATCTGACAATGACACACGTAATAACCCTACTATCTTGTCTCAAGTCAATTTCTAAGTGTTCGAAAGAACCTAAAAGAAATCTTCGTTCCTGTACTTTTTATATCTGTGTCTCGATAAGAGAAACGCCAAAAAGGATGTTAGTTTTTCATTCTCAGTATATCTTGATATTTACGATTGAAAACCTTTGATTTCAGAAAAGTTCATTTAAATAAATAGCAAATCTTGAACACGCGACTGCTTTCTCCTATTCCTTTACGATAAATGGTTTTTATTATCACATATTCATGCTGTCTTACATCTGCATTAATGCTGACTGAAACAATACTTTGGTCTACCGATGATGTTAGACACTATCTTATAGATAAGATTGATTAGAGGAATACTGCCGGGTTACTATTCTTGAAATTCGATGCTTAGCAATAATAACATAAGGCTGAAAGTAGAGTGAATTCATCAACTGAAAGCGTAAGAAAAGAGTTAGGTTTTCAAAATAGTGTGCAGTAGAAATAGGTTTAGCATCTGGTATGAAAGACACGAGGGAAGTTTTCATTGTTCTTTGCGATGGCATAAGCCATGATAAAAGTTGGAGAATACTTGCAGTATTCTCAGTTTGAGAAACACTGGGACTGTAATGCTTCCCACAGTAATAAGTCATCATCATCATCAATATCAACAGGCATTACGGCGTAACAGTCCGAGTTGCCACAGCTCATATCAGTACATCAAGTAAAAAGGCAGTGAGGTGCAAGATGAAGATAAGAAAATCCAGTCAAGAGAAACATAAAGTACGAAAACAGAGAAAGGTGAGATTCGGTACAGTATAATGTATGTGTACATCTGCGTCACTGACATCGGTTTTGAGCCGTATCACCTAGAGTCTCCAACCACTGGTTCCTCTTGTCCTGCGGACCCCGACCGGCTAGTCTGCATCACCCCACATGACTCAAATCAATAATCAAACACTTCATACATTGGTGTCAATAATAAGTAAAACTAACTAGTCTAAGTGATTCATGTTATTCGCTTACACAAGAAAACATTCGCTGTCTAAAGGAAAGAGAAGAAACAACAACAATCTAAACAGAACAACAAGGATTTATTTTGTCGGTTTCTTTTCAGCTGTTTACAGCCTGAACCATTAATAAATAAATAGATAAATGCATTGGAATTTTAATCTACTTTAATCCACAAAGATAAACATTCCGTTGGTTAATGAAGCAGATAGCAATTGAAATACGCGGTGAGAAATAAAAAATTTGAAGGTTGAGAGAAAATGTCAAGATGTTATGAGTGTACACAATTTAAAACAAAAACTTTTTGAAAATCCAGAGGTATAAACAGCCATCATGGGACTCAGAATGTGACATTATATAATTAAGTCAACGAACAGATATGTTAAGAAAAAGGATTATGTAAAATATGGTAATTTGAACTCAACTATCCAATATCGAAGTCAACACGCCAACTTTAATAAAGGATGATGTAACAAAATAAGAATGAAAGTCGACATGAAGACTTAACAAGAGGATTGCGTAGGCAAGTAAAAGGGGGGTTTTGAAGACACATGGAGATTGTTAAAGGCTTTCTTTTGAGCACATAGGTCAAATTTCAAGCGTTTGAGTGGAATAGCTCCCGCGAAACTTGGAAAGCTTCAGCTAGTTTGTCTGTTAACTATCCAAAAATCTCCAAAACGTCCACTTGATGTAATATGGCAGTCAGATGCGTGCAACCGCATTGTTACCTCTTCGGGCAATGTTCAATCATCCCAATGTAACGAAAATACTAGTCTATTAAACTGCAGCTAACTCAGATAGTCTTGTCAAGATAAAATATGAAACAATCAAGGTAAATTGTCAGTCAATGACAACAAGGATGAGGTTTGTGTACTGTGGAATAATAATATTAGTGGTAGTAGAAGAGATAATATGAATTTTAAGAATGGCATGACGATGTAAACAAGTGCTCAGACACAGACAGACAGACAGACAGACACACACACACACACAAAGTACGTCAAACCTTGGAAAAGGACAATATTGGAGGATGAAGGCAATGGAAAAATAAATTTTAAATGCGAATTAGCAGTGGTGTGAAAGGGGTGACAAAATAAAATCGATACTAATCCCTCCAGTTGGATTAGGACGAAAAGACTTGACTGATGACGATTAAAGCACAATTACTATTACGCGTTTAAATGAGAACTCGAAGTTACTGATAATAATGTAATCAACGTCTATGGGGATTTTATTTTTTAAGGTTGTATTCATCACGAACTGGCATCAGTTAGGGAACCACTGAAAACCTGTCAACACTGAACAGCTGTTTTGTCTTCACACTACTGTACAGCGCTCAACAGTGATACGCTTCCAGATGGATATTCCGATGTTCTAATGAGAACCCTGACCAATGGGGTCATCATCCAGCCGGAAATGAAGCGGATGCCAACTAACGACCTTCACGCTATATCGAGAGTTGATAGATGTAAGAAAATATGAACCATTGGATTCCGATCCAGTAATTCCATTTTTAACGCGTCTACCGTGAAACCTGAAGGTCCCAAGTTTACAATAACTGAAATGACTCTATAACCGTGCTTACCAGTAGTGCGAATGGTGTACCACTAGCTCACCTGACTGCCTTCAAAATTCTGCGTAACACATCAGTTGTTTTATCAAGAGTGCGGGATAAAATAAGAGGGAATCATCTGTTAGAATAAACAAAATGCAGTAATCAAGGAAACGTAAAAGTAAAGGCTGGATTATGCAAGAAAGTCACAATTTCTTTGGATAAAAGGTCAAGCGAAGAATATTCCTCAGAATCAGTAGGATATAAATGGATCGAGAAGGACCAGCAGTAAAGCATAAACCTAGATGGATCACACTTGGTACATTCTGTAGTATACAAAGTCATGAGACTGAAGCAGTTCGCATAAGTCTAGGTCACGTATTAAGCTAAAATTAACTATCTGAACTTCAGAAGGATCGCGTGCACAGAATCATTCAGAGAACGCCAGTCGCCAATTCTGGTTGGAAAATTATTAGGCTGAGAACAATCTGTAAGGAAGATGATCGGTATGAATATTGTCAGGTCATTCGCATATTTGGCAGAATAAGTCTGAAATGAACAAGGTAAGTCACGAAAAAAAGCGAGAAAAGAAGAGAAACAATGGCGTTTGAGAAACACCAAGCCTACTGGGTAGCGAAGTAGGACGCTTCCCTTCAAATAAGGCATACTGCTTCCTCTCAGAAAAGAATAAAGCCCGTCCGCAATATAGGACTCAATATGTCCTGGCAAATCTGCTCAGTAAAGGAGGTTTAGGGAATGAGTGAATATTTGTAGATCAGGCAGACGATCCTCGTTGTGGTGCATTGCATGAGTGGGATGGTGTAATCGTGAATCTGTTATTGCTTTTCAAGACATCAGCCTTGGCTCCAATGTGAAGTGACCTATCAGGATTTCGCTGTGAACGATTCAGTTACCTGCTCTAACAAAATAATGTGTGACGTGTAGCTCATTTTGACATATATATATATATATAAATTCAGCCCTATTAAGAACTCTCGTAAGTCTACGACTACATCACAAACTGTCATTATTTATATATTGTGAAGTGATTGCTTATATGCGTTAAAAGCAATTTGGTGAAGAGCAACACCATAATTAACATTTATAACAAAATAATTACCATCACTGAAATCCATCTTGTTTAGCTGCATGGCATAGTATTCACAATCCATTTTACTAAAGGAAAATACAATAAGCGGCTCCAAATTTTGGTCCATGACCAATTTGACTAACTTTGAGCAGTATGGTTGAGGGCCTGTAAAACGTAGATCATTAAAACAGCCAATAAATATGAAATAAACGCAACGTTAGTTCTTTTCTCACTGCGTTCAATTCACTTCTTCCTCGGTGTTACCCTTGACCCTTTTACGCATATAGCTTTGTGCTACCTACTGATAATGAGTAGTGTAATTCATGTTCTTCAGCAATATTATCTTATCTGCATATACGTAACCGCAGGATAGAGTACTTCACTGCATATACCACTGGACTAGTGGGAATTCCAGCTTTTTAACTTGTTTTGAGATTAACAAAGTCATTGGATGTTCGATACAAGTTTTATTCTTGAGATACTCATCGGCATTTAATGTAACTATTTTCATACGTACGTGGTAACTGCGGTAAAGGCTACGCGTAGTTTTAGGGGAAAAGGGTAATTCGGTTGATGTAGATTTAAACCTTCAAGGACTGAGCTGATCGTGAAATGTTTTATGGACAGCTAATCAGCATCTAACCTGATGCACAATAAAAGTTCAAGTAAGGAAAGATTAGGTGAGATAATGGTGACGACACTGAAAAGTGGTGTTAAGTCAAGAAGAACTTGAATTGATAGCAGTGAATCAAGTGTACCAATTTCTTGTTGCCATTTCGAACGTCGTACAACATTTTGTTACTTGTCTTATTCCTTTATCTTTTTGTCTTGTGATTTTCGATTAAGCCACTTGGATTCCACTTTCTACATCCTGTTACACTGCATCTTGATGTAAGGAGTAGCAACTGGAAGCGCTAGATTAGAATCCCAAGTCATAAGTTGAAATTGACTGACTGACTGATTATATCGAAATACAATTTATTTCTTCAGTGCACAACCGTCAGTGAATGAAAACTGAGGCGTAACTAAGCCCCTACTTTTATCACAGATATTCTAGCCAATTTAGCGTTCATTTTGAAAGATGAGTGGCCCTGAGACTGTTTTCAGTAAGCCAAACGTTTTGCTCATTTCAAATTATTTTAAATTCGAATGTACCATCTATTTATCCTTTCTTAACTCCATAGTCAGTAGATAGTTTTCTTCACTTGATCACTAGTTTGCTATACTTTTGATGTATTAATGTTTTTGATATCGGACAAGGTCGAAACCCCTGACCTTTTTTCTCGATTACTAAGATAGTAAAATGTCTTCAGACGTGTTTTTTCACCCTATTTTTATCTTGGGTGCCGAAGTTTTTGGTAGTAGAGAGATTTCGCCAAGAGGCTCAAACTTAGCAAAGAGGTGTAAATTAGAATGAATGAAGGAACGTAACAGAACTAATCTTATATCAACAATCACTACCACTTTTATGAAAAAAATCATTGGATAGAGTTACGACATAAAAGCAACAAGAGGAAAATAATAACAGTGGTTGAGTCATAAACCATTATTATAAGTTTTCTAGTAGCATAAAAACATCAGTTTAGTAAACCTCTTTCAATCGATATAAAACTATAAGAAAACGTTAACTACAACAGAATCCAAGCAAAAATATAACGAGTAAAATCTTGTAGTCTTACGGGTACTACCGCCATTACGCCCGCGTGACCTAGCATCGGAAACCGCATTGCCAGCAGCATTCTGTAAAACATCTAGGGCACACTTGAAGTTGGATTCAAGAAATTCATGCTGGAACACAATTTAAAAAGAAAAGAGACAACTGAAAAGAAGATGAACACAGTAAATACGATAAAATGTAGGAATTACCACTACTGTTAAAACGAAAAAAACAGTCGGTCACCCTATTTGGAAATTCAAAAAGCGTAAAAACAAAGTTTACTATATTGTCTCTAGTTTTATTAAGAGTATTTTTCTAAACAACAATCTAAAGGGACAGCTCAACTTATTTCGTAAAATACAAAAGGATTTTTACATTCAATTTCAAAAATGAGAGATTGAAACAATTATCGTTTGTATGAAAGTGATGTCTTCAATAGATGATAAGTTACCGAAATGAGTGGACTTAATTCACTGCACCGTAAAAATATTTCAGTAGTGAACGGAAACGTGCATTTTATCGAGCTGCCAGCCAAGAGAATAAAACAATCAGTCAGTATCAACAACATGGGGTTTTGGAGAACCGCATATTATTTCACTTCATGTCGCCTGTTGTCCCCAACCACTGATTTCAGTTGTCACTTTGACACTAACTGAGAAGTCTACATTTCCCTCCATGGCTCAGATCAAGATTGAGAGACTTTATGGACTGATGTCACGCTTCAATCTGGTAACCTCTTACCCCGTTTTCAGCCAGCCAGAAACTAATTCAGGTAAAATAGTGCGACGGAGCGGACAGCGACTGACTAGACATGCGTGACACATGTTTCAGACGCCTCAGTTGATCAAGGTTCGTAGCCCCATCAAGACTTCCCACTTCTGCTCAAAACTCTACATTTGATTTCCACGTTAGGAAGATAACTGCAGTCGAATACCTCAAGCCTTCTCATACTCTCCAACTTAATTGGTTATTTCATAGCTATAAAGTAGGAGGGAGCAACTTGCTACTACGTGAAGGGCAAGGAATATACTTTCTACCAAGTATCGATATGTCCTTGGTGAAAGATCGAGTTGATACACACGAACAGGTACGAAGACTGCTTGGTTTTCCCTCGTTTACTGTTCTCAAGTTTCATTTGGGTAGTGAATGAATGTAGAATTAAATATTCTAGAGGCCATTTCGGTTAAGCTGACTTCTCTGTGATTATCACGAGATGTTCATCTTTTCTTATGAGGAATGGAGCAATCAGACAATGGACGATTGTACCTCATGCTAGCATCCGAAATAAAAACCGCTGTCAGTGTAAACAATAAACCCAAGTCGCATTTACTGCATACTTCTGGTAGTTGTTTACAAGCACACGTTGGACTTTATTTTTTCAGATTATTTAAAGCCATTTAGACACGAGTAGTTACAGGTCCCTTATCAATGTTCTATTCGGAATGTAACTGAAGAATCGCCAGGAGTTAATTGAGATTTTCCTCACAATTACATTGTATTATCCAACCCGCAGTCATGTTATATGCCTATGATGCTAGGAATTTGTGTTAAAATCTGCAGTGTCACAATGATATCTACTCGATGGAAACAAAAGAAGCGAGTGGTCCTCACAGAAAATATGATGAGTCATCCGCAAGTAATTTAATCACTTAAGTGAGAGAGAGAAAGCAAAGGTTAGTTAGGTTAACAAACGAATTGTCAGGTCTAATTTACACATGAAAATGTTTAAAAACTTACATTTTTGTTGACCACCAAATGAATCCCATCTCCACCACAAGGAAAAACATAATGTTGCAGTGGGACGGGACGACAGTCTGTGTAAACAACGTGACATGGTTTTCCATGCAAAAACACTATCCATTCAGCAAATTCACGGGCATTTGGGATAGTTGCACTAAGAAAGACAAGTCCAACACTATCAGGTAACAAGATAATAGTTTCTTCCCAGATAACACCACGCTCCTTTTCTCGCATATAATGGATTTCATCGAAAATAACCCATCCAACTTCCCGTGTTGCTTCAGATCCTCTGATATGTAATACCGTAAAAAACCAAACATGATGACTAATTTTTTAGCATCAATGAAGTAGCTATTAATAGCTAAGGTTATAAAAGTAAACAAACCAGGGTTGGAAAATAGTATAGACTATTTTGTGCAACATATGAAATCGAAATGTTATTCAAGTAAAGGAGTGCCTTAAGTATGAAACAGTACCAATATTTCTTAACATTCCAAGCCTGAGCTAAAATGACGTCAACAACCGACCCTTTTTCACTGATGCAGCGACCCAAGTAACTAACGAAGCCAATGCATTCTACCATTTTACTCTCACTTTCTATCTTCAAACAGGGAATGGTCGCAGGTCAGTTCTGAAGCATCGTCTTACATTTGACAGGTGAAAAGGCATATCGGATATACTCAGACTTCCGTTTCAGACATTCAGAAAACTGCATTTCGCCAGCGTATTCAACTAACAACACAATATCGTCTGCGCACATGAAGTCAACCTGGGGTTCTTTGGGGAGTGCGTTAATTCCTGTGAAATATGGGATACTTAAGGTGACGTCCACTAATACGTCTATACAGAAGTTAAAAGGCCACAATGACATTGGGCATTCCTGGCGGACAGTACTGATTGCCATTGCTTCAGACGAAAACTCACTATAAGCTTTAAAACACCTTTATTGGCTCGAGTAGACAGCTTTGATTAGTACTAAATATTTGCTCAGTACTCCATTCAGTCAAATACTGACACAATACTTCTAGGTCGAAAGAGTCGAATACCACCTTCACGTTGGAAATACGGTGTCAACCGCCTGTAAATATGACTGTGCTCAAAGACCTACCTAAGGGTGATCATCATCATCATCATTATCAACATAGGACCAGGCATTACTGCGTAACGGTCCGAGTTGCCACACCTCATATCAGCACATCAAGTAAAAAGGTAGTGAGGTGAAGGATGAAGATAAGTGAATGCAGTCAAAAGAAATATAAAGTATGAGAAGAAAGGAAAGAGGAGTGACAAAATAGTGAGATTCGGTATAGCGTTGTTAAGATGAGGATAATGTGTGTATACATCTGCGCCACTGACTTCGGTTCTGAGCCATATCACCTAGGGTCTCCAACCACTGGTTCCTCTTGTCCCGTGGACCCCAACCACCTAGTCTGCATCGTCCTACATGGCTTAAACCAACAGTCAGAGACTTCATACATTGGTGCCATGTTTTAGTCTGGCCACCTCGGGCCTTTTTCCAGCCTGAACCCACCTCAGCCAACATTGTGTGACGAGGCAATCGGTGACTAGGCATACGTAGTACGTGTCCCAACCATCTCAGTCGATGAAGGTTCACAACCTCGTCGACTGACTTACCTCTTCTCCCTAAAACTCTACACCTAACTTCTGCATTACTCACATGGTGACACCACGGAATACGTCCTATACTACGAAGGCAACGGTGGTCAAATACCTGTAACCTTCTCATGTCTTCCACTTTCAATGGCCATGTTTCACAGCCATACAGTAGAACAGAGCGGACTGCTGTGCAGTACACGCGACCCTTAATAGACAAACGAATATCACGGCGGCGCCATAGGTGGCGCAAATTGGCAAAAGCCAATCGAGCCTTTTGTATCCGTGCAGAAATCTCATCGGCAACTAACCCACCGGAGTTGATCCTACTTCCCAGGTAAGTGAAGTGGTCAACACACTCAACCACTTCACTCTCTATTGTTAACCGCGGTACCGCTGAAGACCAGTCCTGGAGCAAAAATTTGCATTTGGGTGGTGAAAATCGCATCCCAAACATTCTCAAATTCCCACTCAAAGTGTTCAGAAGACTCTGCATCTTGTCAGCGTCTTCACCTAACAGGACTATGTCATCTGCATATTCTAGATCTAAGGAAAATTCACCTGTGATCCGGTCAACGTCTTTGTAATTAGGTGACGAGAGGGAAACCTCCATAAGAATATCTATGATAAAATTAAATAAGAATGGGGATAGTGGGCATCCTTGACGGACACCACTTGATGAGTATAGCTCCCTGGACAACTCACCATAGGCTCTAACATGCCCACAAGTGTTCGAGTAGAGAGCTTTCAATAAGGTGATGTACTTACTAGGCACGCCTTTCAGTGACAGACACTGCCATAAGACTTCTCGATCAACGGAGTCAAATGCCGCCTTCAGGTCGAGAAATACAGCTATTGTCGGGCGTCTGTAAGCATGCCTATGTTCCAGGACCTGGCGCAGTGTGAATATTTGGTCGATACATCCACGGCCAGGTCTAAAGCCTGCCTGGTTTTCTCGGGCTTGCTGTTCCCGAGCTCCACTCAGGCGTCGGAGAATTATAGAACTTAGGATCTTAGACACTATGTTTGTCAGGCTGATTCCTCTGTGGTTATCACAAGAGGACTTCTCGCCTTTCTTGAAGACTGGGATGATCAGTGACTTAGACCAGTCGGAGGGGATCGTATTTGATTCCCATATACTGGCTAACACTTCCGTTAGCCTGACTAAGAGAACTCTACCACCATTCTTGTATACCTCAGCAGGTAGTCCGTCTGGTCCTGCTGCCCTTCCCCGTTTCAGGCTACCTACCGCTTTCTCAACTTCTTCTAGTGTTGGGGGACCTGTCTCTATGTCCCATTCAGGGTCCGACTGGATAGCGGGCAGCGCAATGGTGGCTGGAGGCCAGTTAAACTGTTCCTCAAAGTGTTCTGCCCATCGTCCCAGTCGCCTTCCCTGCGAGTGAATCGCCGATCCGTCCTTCTCCGCTATAACCTCACTAACTGTTGTTGACCATTTCCCCCCAGTCTCCTTAATAAGTCTAAATAACTGTCTACTGTTACCGATCGCCGCTGCCTTTTCCATCTCTTTAGCCTTTGCTGCCCACCACTGTTCACGATCGTTGCGCAGACTTTTCGTCAGTTTATTTTTAAGTTGCGCTCGCTCTTCATTGTACTCAGAGCCTGCAGGGATGCATTCACGTGCATCCATTAGTTTGGAAGAAGCTGCTGATATCCACTGGCTCTTTTTAGCCATTATCTTGGAGTCGGCTACAGTCTCCAGTGCTGCTTTTACAGTAGACTGAAGATGGCACCAAGCTTCTTCTGGATGAGTGACAGTCTTTTGTTCCGATAACTGCCTAGCCAACTTCTCACTGAACACGGCTTTGGTGTTTTCGTTGTCCAGCAGAACTCGTAGTGGTTTTGTTGCCAAATTTTTTCTACGTCCATTGAGACGCAGGCATATACGTGCTCGGACCAACGCATGATCGCTGTCCAAACACGTACTCCAGAAGGAGCGGCAGTCTTCCACCGATCCTCTCCAGCGATGACTAATAGCAATGTGGTCTATCTGTGTCCATCGCTGAGTCGAGCTCGGTGGACGCCAGGTCAGACAGTGCCTTTCTTTATGTCTGAAATTTGTGCTGGCTAAAAATAGGCGGTTATCTGAGCATAGTTGTAATAGGCGATCACCGTTATCTGTACGTTCAGCTGGGATTCCGAAAGTGCCACCTAAGTGCCTTTCTGCCTCACTCAGTCTACCCACCTGTGCGTTGAGGTCACCTGCAACAACCACTACGTCCGAACGTTTGGCTTTCGAGAGGAGGTTAGACAGTTTATGGTAGAACTCGTCCTTCACTTCATCCGAACTACAGTCAGTGGGTGCGTAAGCAGAGATTACAAAGAGACAACGGCGAGTCTCACTATTCCTTTTAGTTCTCACTGTGCCGTTCAGCCTCATAGCGCAGAGGCGACTATCAACTGGGATCCAGTCTAGTAGTGAGTTTTCTGCCCTGGTGCTTAATGCTATACCTACACCTGCAAGACCACGAGAGCTAGCTATCGAATCTCCAGAAACTCGAAGGGTGAATTTTGCAGATTCACCAGATTGGTCAGGAGAGGTCAGGTGAATAACCACACTTGGGTCCTGTATGCGTGTCTCACAAACACAGCACACATCCATGCCTCGAGTTGCTAGAGTCTTTGCCAACGAAGCCTGTTGGCCAATTTGACGGAGGGTGCGGACATTGAAGGCTCCAATATGTAATTTGGAGCGTGGTTTAAGGAGACCAGGGACACTGTTCTGTGGACTCAGATCGTTGTCGAAGGCTGCAGAGGTAGGAGAAATTGAAGATGATGCAGCATCATTAATTAAGAGACGTGAAGGAAGATTAGAAGGTAATGATGGAGGAGGAGGATAGCAGTCAGAAGAAACTTGGGTGCTGACAGAGTTGTGAGGGCGGTTGACACTTCCCGGCTGCCCACACCGTGGAAGGCTATTTCTTCTTAAGGTACCTGAAAGAGATTTGTGTGACCGCAGAGCCCATCGGACATCTGCTTGAGGCCTGTCACACCCAGCCTTTTGAGTATGATTATTTTGAATTTTTGTATTTTTGGGGCCGGATGAGCGAAAGGAAACGACAAGTGAACCAACACCGCCGGCCCGGCAGACCGTGGGGCGTGGTGGAGTGTGTTATTTTTGGGGCCGACCTTTTCTAACCCCCCCTTCCACTGAGAAGGCAGCATCAGCTTGGCACTGCTGGTCATCCAAGGGAAACACCTTACTGCTGTCACACCCCATCCAGCTAGCAGCAGTACGACTTCGCCCTCAGACCCCCATCATAGTATAGCAATTTACACTATGACGGTAACTGCTTTTCGTCTAACCACTACCCAACAGACCTTTCTGGTATGGTAGGACCTCGAGGGAACAAGCGTTCCACCAGCATAGCTCGTTGGGTCATTGTGATATGCAAGCCCGACCACCACGTCAAGGTAGCAGCTATCGGTGAAGATCTGATCGATGCACCCTCATTCAGGTTTGGAGCCTGGCTGGTTTTCTTTAGTTTGTTGTTCTCGAGCTCCAAACTAGGCATCGGACAACTACGGACTCCTGGATCTTGGATAAGATGTTAGCTAAGTTGATTTCCCCCATGGATATCAGAGGAAAAATTTTCTTTTTTATAGACTGGAATGGTCAGTGATGTAGACCAGAATGACGGGACTATCTCTGATTTCCATACGCTACCCAGTACCTCTGATAATCCAAGTCTGTAACTCTTCGCTCCTACCTTAGAAATTCCTGGTGAGGAACCATCAGATCACGTAGCATAGCACTGTTCCACTTTTGAAACAGCTTTTTCAAGTTTTATGAAAGTTGAAGGGTCAACACCAAAGTCCCACTTAAGATCCTACATCACTTGGTGTAAACAACCCACAACTGACTCGCACAATCCCACTTGTGTTTGAATACGGAACTTTTAACATTATGACGTACTTACCCCTCAGTGAGAGACACTGTCATCGGTTGCGTTGAATCCCGCTTCCACATCAAGGAACAGTTACTTTCAGCTGTCTATAATTGAGTCTGTGTTCCAAGACCTGAGGAGAATTGGTACACCCACGGTCAGGTTTTAAAGGTAGGCTCAATCATCATAAAGCCTAGAATCGTAGATACCACGTTCATTCGACCGACAACTTCATAGTTATCACAGGAATCTTCTTCGCCTTTTTGAATACGGCGACAACAGATGATTGAGACAGGTCAAAAAGAATCACATCTGATTCCTATACATTGAATAACATTTCTACTAACTTCACCGATAATCTTCGACTACGGTACCTTTAGTCCAAGCCCATATGTCTCTTCTTTCCTTCTACATTTCAGGTTACTAACAACCTTCTTAACTTCGGTAAGAATTCGAGGTTCCATCTCAATGTTGTATTTCGAATTTGACTGAATGGCCAGCAACAAAATTTTAGCTGGATTGTTTCCTAAAGTGTCCTGTCCATCGTCTTGGTCGTCTCTCTTGTGAGATTAAATTGCAGACCCATCCTTTTCCGCTATAGCCTCGCTGGGCATTGAAATTTTCTCTTCATTTTCCCGTCTATCATTACTTATCACCGCGGCTTTTTTCATGTCTTTAGCCCTTACTACCCACCATTGTTCGTGGTCATTTAGTGGACTTTCATTAGCCCATATTTGATTTTCTCTTGCTCCTTATTATGCTAGAAGCCTGTAGGAATGTGTTCACGCACATCCAATAGTTCAGAAGCTACTGAGACCCGCTGACGCTTTCTAACTTGTTTGAGAATCAGTTATGTTTTTGAACGCTATTTTTGCAGCAGGTGATCATGTCAGACCTCTTACGGGTGAGTGAATACGTACTGTTCCGATAACTGTCTAACCAGTTTCTTATCAAGAGTAACCGTAGTATTATTACAGAACGCGCTTGGAATGGTCTTGTTGGTGAGGTTTTTCTACATCCATATAAGTGTAGATTTACACATGATCGAATATGTAATTTACAATCCGGTTTCAGGAGATCAAGGATGTTGTCCTAGGAGCTACATAGTTGGAAGAAACTAACGGTAACTTTTGATTACTGAGTGCAAGATGTGAAGAAGGATCGAAGATAAATGTGCTGGAACTTGAGTGCTAACAAAGTTGAGAGAGCGGCTGATACTTTCCGGCTTCCAGCACCATGGAAAGTCACTTTATCTTGAGGTACCAGAAAAAGGAATTGCATTAGTAGTAGTGATGTATGACCACAGAGCCCCGGAGGACATCTTCTTAAAGTCGGTAATACACGGTCTTTGGGATTTAAACCCTTACAGCTGGAAGATCGCAGGACAGGCACGAGTGTGCTATTTTAGGGGTTGACCTTTCCCAAAAAGAAGACAACATCAGTATGTACTGCTGGTCATAGGTGGGAAAAACCTTACTAATGTCACTCTGTTCAGCTAGCAGTACGACTGCACCCTCGAAAAACCACCTCTTATTATAGTCTACTAGTTTACAGTAAAACGGTAATAGCCTTTCGTCTTACTACTATCCAACAAACCTTTCGAGTGTAGTAGGACCTCAAAGAACAAATGTTCCTACCAGCAAATCTCGCTGAGTCATTGTGATGTGCACACTTGATGACCATGTCAAGATAGCAGCTACTGGTCATATCCATGCAAACAAAGCCTTTCCATTTATATCATGCCTAAAGAATAACCCAATTGATCCCATGTGGTGCTGTGAATACATATAGGTGATATGCCACAAACAGTCGTTCCCTCACGTGAGGGGTTGTCGAATATCTTCGGCTAGTACACCACGTCTCATGAGCAGTTAGCGAAACTGTGTTGAGGTTGAATAACCAAATCGCATCACTGCAGCTTAGTTTGGCGTACTCCAGACAGGGGAAAATCTCAATCATCCCACATCTAACAGCATTACCACAACTTCTCAAATACAAAAATGTAGGTATTTTAAAGCTTCACCAGCTAAAGATTAAATGAATGTGTTCGAAATTAAAATTAGGCTAGGTCATTTTCAGTTTTTAATATTTTAGGGAAAACAAAAAACATGCTCCCATAGAAACAGTAAACTTGATATGAATCGGGAGTTAAAAATGTTCGGTCGCAAATAGTACACACCCCTAACCTGAGGGTATTTCAGTGTCTGTGAAGTGGATTTGTTGAGCTGAACCCAACTCAAATAAACTTATATTTGAGACATCTTATAAAGTTAATCGTCAGTTGATTTATGTTTTCAAAGGCCCTATATTAACTATATTGGTATCTGTTCCATGAGTAACAGGTATCACTAAAAAAGACTTCATATTGTTTCTTAGCACTAAGGTTCGTTTACACCACATAAAGGACTAACTGAACAGAGAGAACCCGTGGAAAGGAGTTACATGGATGGGGTAATAAAATATAGTGTGAAAACAGCGCAGAAAGGAAAGCGGATTGCATAAATTTTATGGATCTTCGATCTCAATGAATATCATGTCTGGGACACAATTGCTAAAATTATCACAAGCTGGGTAGTGCGTTAGAAAAAATGATTGTTTTTCTAAATAAGCATTTTCTGAAGTCTACAAAGAGGAACCAATACAGTGTAAGGAGACAATCGGGAAGAAATGTACGGCCTAAGTTTTGTGCTCGTTGACACTCAGCAACAAGGTATATCCGCGATTCTAATAATGCTCTGCTTACCTTGCAATTTGGATCATCTAATACTGGAATCAGACTTTATCACTAAGATTTTCCTGCTGATGTTAACTGACACTTGAAGCGTAATACCGAAATACAATACATCTCCATATCACATCACATCACGCCTGGCAAGCTCGGTTTATACTCTCACCAACACTAGGAACTTGATGGTCGCAATGATTATCACTCAGTAGTTATCATCTAGAGAATGATATCTTGTCTAACAGAACCAATAAATACACGCTCCTCAAAGCGGTGACTAGAGTATACGACCCCAAATTCTTCATCTGAAGACAACTGTTTGACGATACTGAATTATAGATTGCAAAAGTTTCATTATTGTACTCCTCAATTTTGGTCACATCAAAATTCAGAGATGATGCATACGGATACAAACAGAAAAGCAAAGCTATGTGAACTTCGATACTTACCTGTACAGCATAGATCTCAATATTTCGGTCGTCATTATAAGGATAGTTCCTTCTGGGTTAATAGTTGTATCACCAGTCATTAAACCAACGTCCGCGAAAATGTCAGAAAACTCACGAAATTTCTGGTTACTTAAAGCTTTTATAGGCGTTGTATAAATAACACGCTGTTTCTGACTCAAACTTTTAGCAACTGCATACCTAAGATCCGAATGATTATTACACTTTAACACTTACTCTGCAACTACTGTTTTGCCAGCAGAAGTATGAGCAGACACCATAACAGACTGTTCATTCTCAATACACTGAATAGCACGTTGCTGAAAGGGGTCCAATGAGAATGGATAGTGCCTTGCTGGGCTTTTAACGCTTTTCAAAACTTTGAGTGGGCATCCAGCAGGATAGACAACCTAATTAACTCGAATCACAGCTAGTTAAACAAACTTCATGTAGGCAACCTTCCCCAGTTGAAAGAACGTAAGTGTTGAACTTGGGGAACTTTATGCGACATCGTTTAGCCTCAATTACATCACCACATGCTTCCTTACATCTAAAAGGTAACAAATTAATCACTTCTGCAAAAACTACCTCTTCCCAAAACTTTTCGCTTCATGAAAAGCGGAAGCAACTTCATCCAGGTTGACATCTAGGAATTCCATATCAATTTTTATTTTCGTATTATGATAATGGGGGGCTACTTCATGCGTATCTTATTTACCAATGGATAGAAGTTGAATAAACTCAGAATGTCCAGTTAAAAGCAACAGATCTGAAAAACCAATACAGATGAGGTAAGTCAGTATCACATATCATCGACTGTATACGTCAAAAGTATTAATGACTAGCCGCCGAACTCCTCAACCTATACATTTTTAGGTTACCACGTATGTTCTCGGCAGTCCGTTGAAGATTATCATCGAGATGAAAGACAGGAGATGAAAAGGAGACTGGTTTTTCATGTTATACCTTTTGGTCCTACATCCTGAAAAATCATTGTACGACATTGACCAATGATATAAACGAACAGGTAATATATGTTTACTCCATGGAAGAGAGAAGTAGTAATGCTACATATATAGACAATTCTGTCACGTGGAACTACCGTGATATGTGTGAAATTTAAAGGTGAACAAGTGAAATTTTATTTCCTAGGATATGAAGGTGTAATTTTGCAATATTTATTTAGTCTATTTACTTCTGTATGAACACACTGGAAAAAATCTAGATGACTACTATTTCATTAGTGAAACCGGTTGCTGAAATTCTAAGAGCTCAAGTTTATTTAAACTGATCAAACAGACGAAAAAAGGTAACTCAATTTAGAGTAAACCTTCGGAAGCAAATGATTGTTCAACAGACAAACTATAAAATCTGCAATGGTGACAGTTAACCATAGGTACAAACAAAAGAATACGTCAATATATGGACCTTGAATTTCGAATCTATATGTCCGCAAACAGCTATGCAAGTGACTACATCTTTACGAATATCTATACCAAACGATAATGACTTGGTTTATACACTTCGTGATCAACATGGTTTTCCTATCTGCACTTTATAATGACGCAACGAGGAATATTGGCTGCAGCGACTTTTCCCCTGAGATCTTGCCAGGCCAGAAATTTCCACCATCGCAATGTAAACAACTTCTGCTGACTAAACAGGTATGTGACGGACAGCACTCCAGCTGTTACCTTTCTATTTTGGCGATCAAGACAGAAATCTACTCAGCAACCACGTACATTATCAGGAAGTGAGCGACAAGCCACATATTGCACAATGGCTAACGATACTACACGGCTGTCCAGACTGCGATAGGAGTTGGGTTTCAACTTATCCGTAGGTTAGAAGTCATGAACTTAGATCAATGAGCACGTTACGAAAATGTCATAGAAACTGTAAGTTCCACCCGAAAAGGCGGTCCTCCTCGGCGAGAGACAAGATATTCCATGAACTGGAACAGCTCTACAAAGGAGAACACCTTACAAAATTGTACCTGATAGAGCAGTAGTCCCTTTGACTTCCAGATACTTCAAGAATACATCAAATTCTATGATGCGAGTTCATGGGAATTACCGGTTTTCACATTCGACACAATGCGTTAATGTGAACATAAGGCGTGGCACATTCGCGACGGTCAAGCCTGTTATTTGTCGTACTAGATGGAGAAAGCGGTGACGGTGGACCATACTGGGGAATTGTTTGGGCTTGCGAAAGACTATGGTCTGGGAGAAACGATGGTCATTTGGACTGTTACCTTGAAAAATGGATCCCTTAATACCTGTCATAACCGAAACCTTGAATTCTGGACGAACAACTTCAACTGACACGCAAAATCTTTTCTATCCACCATTAGCAGTGAATTGAATTATGACGAACCCAAGTCGCAAGAACTAAACACGGAAGCTCAAATACTGTCGAAAGCAAACGAAGTGCACAGATGACAGTCAAATCTGGGAAACCCTCAATCATATTCCATAAAATGTTCAAGGCTTCCTAGTCTAGTCTAGTTTGATCACACCTGCAGATCAGAAGTGAAACCTTCAAGCTTCCAGGATACTAGTACGCAGCACGTTCTACATATTACAAAATGAGCATATAGTGTCCATATCCTAAATGTTAAAGTACGGTCCTAACATTACAACTAACGCCAGTTGAGTCAGATCACTTAATATCGCAGTTTATTTCCTGAATAAATTCCTAAATAACAGACAAGATACGAAAAAAATACTATTGTCGCAACACTATTTTGGCTTTCGACCTTATACAAGCGTTCCCAAGTCTAGAAACACTTACCCAAAGCTGGACCAACGTGGTAACCAGTATCCCTGAGATGAAGAAATGTCCCGCGAGACCTTTAACATCTAACATCAATAGTGCGAGTAGAGAAAACTTGTAGTTTTTGAGCTCTCGCTTCCAGGTCTCGAGTCTCTGTGCCTTTTTCTGTTGTCCTCCTTCGACGATAGTAGAAATCCTTAAGTTTTCCTGCTTTTAGCTTTGGAAGTAGTGATTGCATTTTCGAAGGTATTTCATTTGCAAATTGTAGCTTGGTTTATTTTTTGGTGGGTAACGGAGCTTCTGATGGTATCACTAACCATTTGCAATTCCTGTTTTTTGTAAGCACCTGCAAGTAGGTATTAGGCGCTACTTAAAAAGTCCCAGTAATAGGGTGAGTGGGGAACGAGAAAAAAAGGAGTGGAAAGTACTAGTGAAAAGATAAGTGTTACTGGTAGTAATATGGAGCAGGGATGCGTCTTATTGAGGATACTAGGGTTAGGCAATACGGGGATGGAATGGCGTATCAGCGGTTGCTACTGACAAATGTTCGCAGTCAGCCACTTGTGCTCACATGCTCATCCAGAAGTCATTTGAAGGAGTTGGCTGATGTAGCTGTGGCCACTTCCGTCGGCAGAGCGTTCCATAAGGCACATACTCTGTGGGAGAAGAAGTCAGATATCATTTTCGTCTTTGCCGCATGGTGGAGTATGTGAGTTGGGTTCCTACGGGACTATCAGTTTCGGACCGGTAGCTTTGACCTGTTTGGGTGGTCCACTTGGGGAATGATCTTGTAGGCTGTTATTGGGTCACCCCGTTTCCTTCGATAGATTAGTGTGAACAAGTCTAGTTGTCTGAGGCGTTGAATATAGGTTATCGTGTTGAACACCCCTAGGTGTGGTCTAAGATCGGCTTTAAACACTATAAGGAATAATTTTTGGGCTAACGATCCGAGCTGTCTTCTTGGAAAGTGCATTAAGGCGTTCGCCTTTGCTACCATTCCCTTATAAATGCCAGCAGTATCCAGTGTGTCAGAAAAGTGTAGCCCTAGGTCCTTCTCTGTGGATACATTGCTGATTTCACGCTCTTTAGGAAAGTAGCTGATCTTCGTCGCCCCTGGCTTGCGAGGACACGTCACCTTGCACCTCTTCAGGTTAAAGCTTGAGCCGTTTGCAGCTGACCAGCAATCCAGCTGCAACGGTTCATTTTGGAGTGTCCTGGGATCCCCTCAGTCACCTATAGTTCTCCGTGTTTTGATGTCTTCGGCAACCAGGAGGGTAGATGAGGAGATCTTAGAAGGGAGGCCTTTATGAATAGTAAAAATAGGAGTGGTCCAGGGATCGCTCCTCGAGAAACTCCTGTTCTCTCCAGGCTGATTGAATTCCGTCTACTGTAGTGCAGAGCTCTCTGTCATCTAAGTATGCTGTAAATCATGCTATGGGTGGTTCAGTGATACCCACTTTTGCAAGTTTAGCGAGCATGGTGCAGGGTGGGACGCTATTAAATCTTTGTCCGAGTTCGAGGAGATAACTTGAGCAGGTTGCCTGTTGTCCCATTTAGTGATCCAGTCATCCCTAGAGATCACCAGATTTGTGGCACATGACCGCCCGGTTCTGAATCCATGCTGGGTGATATGAAAGGTCTTGTTCCTGTTCCGGTGGTCCAAAACAACAGCTGGAGCCGGGCTTTCTAGCACCTCGGAAAGTACGGGGGAAATGCTATTGGTCTGTCGTCGCACGAGTTTTTACGGTCTCTTCCCTTGAAGACTGATGAAAGGGTGGGGCGTTTCTACTCTTTGGGGAGTTGGCTTACTTCCAACGAGTGCATGAACAGGTTGCAAACGGGTCGCTCAGCACTTTGGCACAGTTGCGTAGGACAACCGGTTTTATGTCGTCACAGCCCGGGGGTTCCCGACTCCCAAACACTTGGTTTGACGAAATCTTTACGTTCAGCAGCTTTGTATCGCAGCCCTGGGACTTCGTTACATTGCTGGATTTTGATAGTGGATATATTACTAGGCTGAGCCGCTCATCAGATCGACCGTTCAATAGTTCCGCTATCTCGCTGAGGTTCAAGGGTTCTCCAGCAGGCCCTTTGATCAGGTTTAAACCGGTATAGACTTTTTGGACTGTAACTTAACTGTTTAGCCAGGTTTTTCCGGTATGTGCACCTGTCATTACGAACTCTTATGTTACATAAGTTGCGTAAGGTCTTGTATCTAAAAAGTCTGGTTCTTCGCGTGACGTATGCCACAGATAGCATGTCTTCTTTTTCCTTTGTATTTGCCCCGGGCTGTGCGGGTCACCAAGACTGTTTGAGAAGTGACCGAAACACACTTTTCCGTGGCGCTCCAGATGATGTCTTTGATATGTATCCAGTGCTCGTCTATAGATAGTGAGTGCCATTCTTGTGGCCATGCAGCCTCCCGGAGTCCACTGTTCATGAGATGGTAGTCCACCTTTCGGCAGCAGTGGAACCGTTCTGGCTCAACCGTCGGTAGTGTATCCTCGGTTATCAGAGAGAATCTCACCATGGCGTGGCCGCTTTTATCCAGAAGGGTTAGGGGCAGATGTCGCCCACCAAAAGATCATCGCCTGTTAGAACGTAGTCGAGTGGTGATCATGTTCCATTCGGCCCCCATCTAGTGTTTCCCCAACCTTCTCTATCAGTCCTGCCGCCACAAAAGTACTTTGAAGTTTGTGTTCTAAAGAACTATGCCCCTACCTTACTTTACATCCTGAGCTGAGTGTTGGCGCGTCGAAGTCTCCAGCGAGGACTGCACGGCCATGGGCTGCCGAGGTGGTTGTTGAAATGGCACTGAGCAATTGCGCCCCACATTCTGTCGTGCAAATGGGAGACCCATATACCAATTGTAACATGTACTTGGTCTGGTTTATGGTGAAATAGCATCATGAGGAGTCTGGTAGTGAGCTGAATGCACCATTGGTCGCTACCTTGACTTTTAGATGAGTGCTAGTATATGTGGCAACTCCTTCCCCTTCTTTGAACTGCCTGTCCTTTCGGAACAAGTTCGTGTCAGGCAAACACATTCCTTATCTACTGTGTCTTCTGACGGTCATATCCCCGTTAGGAGAATTAAATCCGCTTCCAGATTGCGGCACACTGCTTTTAGCTGCAGTAGCTTACTCCTAAGACCTCTCATATTGCTGTAGAAGCATGTTAAGGAACTACATTCCGGGCTTGGTGCTATATAAGGACTTGTTTGAAAGCCGGTGCGCTGTTGCACCGGATCCTGACTTCCAGTCCCTACTGGACTGGCAGGCCCCCGTTTCTTGGTCCCTCTTGGCATTCTGGCGTTGGTGTGGCGGTATTGTTTGTGTCTACAGGTAGTTCACTGGCTAGTTTTTTATTGACTAGTAATGTTTGTAGTATTCTCGGAAGCTGCCTCCAGTCTTCCAGTCTGGTAGATCATGGTTTACTTTCTCACCAGCGCATAAAACTCCCTATTTGGTCTTTCACGCGGTACCGTGCTGTAACAGCTTCCGCTAGCGATGCTTTGCAGTCATAGCGTACAGCTGGCAATCTTGGTGAGGAAATACTCTGCAAGTGCGTAGGTCTTGGCAACCTACTTAAGCTGCCGGGGGGGCAAGTTTTCAAGTCCCATTTTCGCCCCTAGCCACCTACACTGCTCAACATCATGGAGGTAATTATCACACTTTATGGATCCATCTGCCATTTCGGGTATTCCAAGCATCGCCATGGTGGCAGCTTTCTGAGGGTTGCTAAGTGGGGACTTTCTGTCCGCCTCTTTGATGACCCAAGATTTGTTTGGTCTCACCTCTATGGAGCATGAGCCTGCAATGTCTGGTAGGCGCGACAGTAGCAGTATGTCCTTCGACTGTTTCACTGTCGTTACTGATGCCCTGGGAGGCGGTGACTTGTCTCAAGGTGCCGTACTTCCCCGGGAGAGCTGATATAAGTCAGCTGTGTTGGCTTCTATTCCTAAATTTCTGCGATAGTCACCCCACTTCTCCTTGTTAGACTGTTCATCTTTTCCTGTCAGAATGGTGGAATCCATTCTCTTGTCCTGTGGGTGTGGGTTATTGGGCTTGGTAGCCAGCATCTTCGGTCTAACCTTTACCGCTTTCACTTCCGTCCATGAGTTCTCAACACAACCTATTTCCCCAAGTTATTCAGTTCCGTTGGATAGTCTGGGTTGCAACGATACAGATGAGCACTTTGCTGGTGTCTTTCTTGGAGTGAGAGCCAGTTTCTTCCTATCTCTGGGGGCGACACTTGCACACTTGTGGATCTTGACCAGTTTCTGAGGTTAGGTTGTGGCAGCCCGTGCAGTGTAAAGTGTCTGGTTGTCCAGGTTTTTCAGCTTGCCAGTGGTGATAGCAGGTGATTTCTGACACTCTGAAGACATATACCACATTCACTTACATGGGTCTTTCCTCATAAAGCTGTAGTACTGACCTGGTATACCATTGTCGCGGTTACAGTGTACCCAGTTTAGACAGAAGTCGCACACAAAGGCTCTTTGAGCTTGAAACCGATTTTTTACTAACATTGAGATTGTCAGAGATTCGCTCCCTGTTGATGACTGAGTGGTTTGCATTCTGTGAGCTGGGGTCAAGCGTAGTGTGTATCGGCATATTCGTTGGTCGACATGCGCGTTTCCCCCGTACTTCATTTTGCCAACGGTTTGCTTCGGGACGTGCTACCCCGACTACGTGAGTTTACCTGCTTAGATAGATGCTGTGTCTGGTGTGACGGTGCTCTGGGGATCCCAGAGGGTGGGGGTGTTGCTACGCTCGTCTTTTCTGCATAGGAGGCATTCTGTCCACCTGCAGATATCGTTATAAGATTTAGAGCTCTTGATCAAGTTTTTAGTATCGCAATAGTTAAGCGATTTCATGTACAAATAATACAAATGAAAAGGAGAATAAGACGCAAAGTAGATAGCGTGCCAACGGAACTTGGCTTCCGGTTTCTCTCGCCTTAGCAGTAGCTTTAACTGAATACTCCAATTGCTTATGTATAAACCAAGGAAGACGTTTCTTGATGGATGGTCTCCTAGGACAGCCAAAAACTATAACAGCT